TTCATGAACATTTATTATTGTACTTGTAACGTTAGGCATGCCAGACAATTGTAATTACTAAACAAGAATATTAATAAACAAAGACTGTCTTCAGATCGATTTCTGTTGCTTCTGCTATGAAGGCTACCGCTGCTGTGCTGCTACAATTATTAATTATTACTACCACCACCATCACCATTAGTATTACTACTATCATTATTACTACCACCACACCATCATTATTACTACTACAGCGATTACTATTACTGTTATTGCTTCTCTTTCTACGACTTCCCACAAGACCTAAATAAAGGATGCCACAATTGTTCACCTCTACAATCGAAAAAGGAAATCGCATGTCTTGCGATAACCAGGGGCATCTCCCTGTTATCTGTAGCAATGAAATTGCTAGCCAGAATCATCCTGGCTGGCCTTACAGCACACCTTGATCAAGGTCTTCTGCCTGAGAGTCAGTGTGGCTTCCGGAAATAACGAGGCGCCAATGACATGATATTTGCTGCAAGGCAGCTACAGGAACAATATCAAAAGTAAAATGTTGATTTGTCCTATGCATTCATTGACCTGACCAAGGCTTGCGACACAGTAAATAGAGATGGACTGGAAAATCATGGCAAAATTTGGCTGCCCACAAAAGTTTATAACAACGATGAAGACATTTTGTGAACGAATGCAAGCAAGAGTTCTGGAAAATGGACGGCTCTCAGAGCCTTTTATGGTCTCAAACTGTGTAAAGCAAGGGTGCTTGCACCAACACTCCGCTTGCTGATTGACGCCTTCAGAGAGGGGGATGCTGGTATCGATATCAGATATTAATTTAATCTCAGGAGGGTAAGTGCTAAAACCAAGGTTAAGTCAGACACCATAAGAGAATTACTTTTTGCTGATGACTGTGCTGTCTGAGCCAGCTCAGAGATTGAACTACGACATAGTGTAAACAAATTATCCGAAGCCTTTACAAACTTTAGGCTTGTCAAAAGTACTAACACAACTGAACTAATGTCCCAGCCAGCCCCAGGAACAATCTTATCTTTCCAGCTAGAAAAGTTAACATCGATCTAAATATCAATTCAATGATATTCAAAGCCAGCAGCGCATTTGGTAGACTTCTTACAAAAAGTCTGGAATAGAGCTGGAATCAGCCTGCAGAGGAAGCTCAAAGTGTACAGAGGTGTCGTACTTTCTGTATTTCTTTATGCATGTGAACCATAGACCGTTTACCATGGCCGTGCTAACAGACTAAACCATTTCCACACAGTATGCCTCAGAAAGTTGCTGAACATAAAATGCCTAGACTGGATCCCTTACACTGAAGTCCTCGACGGAGCTGGACTGCCCAGTATTCATTTGATTCTAAAACAGTCCCAACTTCGCTGGGCAGATTATGTAGTCCACATTCCTGAACATCGACTGCCAACAAATAATTTTCTATGGTGAGCTACAAAAAGAAAAACATCCCAATGTGGACAGAAGAAAGGTTTAAAGGACAATCTCAAGACCTCACTAAAAGACTTATGTATTGATTCTAAGACCTGGGAAGTCGCTGCATGTGACCGCTCATCTTGGCGCTCCTCTCTTTATCCAGGAGCTATGGCCCGTGAAGCTGCTAGAGCTGCAGCAGCAATTCAGAAAAGCCAGGAAGGACTATAAAAATCACCAAAGAGATGCGGCCTCACTTGAAATAATTCATGCTAGACTGGCTTGAAGATTTATATGATTTGTGTCGATCACTGTACATTTTCTTAGTGCTACACAAATTATTAGCCCGAAAATATTAAAGAAATTCGCCGCTGTAGGAAAACAGCAGTAGCTGTGCAACTATAAATTATTAAATTCTAAGGACATGGAAATTGAAGATCGCATGCAAGAAGATACTTGTTAAAGTCTGACGGAACGTCTTTTGCAACAGACTTTTACTACTAACACCACCACAACGGTCACCACTATTACTACTACAGTTATTACTACTACTGCTACTACTACAATATTACTATTTCTACTACTATTGTTACAACAATAACAACAATTTCTATTACTTCTACTACTACCACCACCACCACTATTACTACTACTACTGCTGATGCTACTACTACTACTACTGCTACTACTAATACTACTGCTGCTACTAGTAGTAGTAGTAATAGTTATAGTAGTACATATAAGACAATCACCTTTTGGCTTTCCTCCTCGGCATGTACACCATAGGATTGTGGCTAGAAAACTCATCAGCAGACGTGTTGGCTGCATCTGACGTCACTCTTTCCACTATTGACCTCATTTCATTTTTCACAACTTGAACTGCAATTCACGGAACTGAACTTTTCAGCAGATAGCGGTAAAATATAAGCTAAACAATGATAAGGAAAAGTTAACAATACTTTCTGATCAGCAGAAACAAATGTATCCAATGTTTTTATTGTGAACTTATCCATCAAAGGAGCATATGCCCAACACCAGCCCATGCTGAATTATCCTTCTCCTCTGCTGTTGAGTGCAGCAAATCAAGTTTCAGGCCAAATGGCATCAATTTTGAAATGCAAGCATGTGGATATGAACACCGAAAGAACACTGTGCAAAACAATATTCTTACCAACACTACGCTATCAGTGTCAAATATGGACACCGTCGTGAGAAGACGAAGGAAAATAGTCACGACAGAAATGAAAAGCTTACGTACTATGTTGGGTGTAACGAGGAAAGACTGACTTAAGACATATTATACCAGGAGTAAAGTTGATACAGAATCAAAATTGAACTTTACAGGTAGATTTCAAATCAGACAGTTTCGCCATATAAACAGAATGGCATCAGAGAGGGCATCACAGAGAGCATTGTTGTGCAGATACATCGGTAACAGATCCAGAGATCGACCACCCAGAATATGGACCGCAGATATCTCAGAAACAATGAAAAGTACTTTATGTAAAGCAAACTGAAGGGCCCGTTTCAAAGATCTCTTCCTGCCCTGACGACGCAAGGCATTCCAGGGGTAGAGAAAAGATAAAGATTGAGTGAAATCTTTGGTATATTATCATGTTTTCTCAATCGTTGTCCTGTCTAACGCAGCCTACTATCGTCTGTTCTTGAAACACTGGAAATCGAAGACCATTATTTCGAGGACTGTGAAATGGTGAAACTACTTCCCTAATAGGGTAAGTCCCAGCAAAGAAATCAAAATTAGAATTATAAGAGCATGTATCTTCCTTGTAGCAACACACGGATGTGAGTCGTGGACTACTTCATAGTCCTTAGGAAAGAATATGGAGGCTTTTGAGCTGAAATGCTATAGAAAAATTATCATAATACCATGGACAGAGAAGAGAAGAAGTACTGACATTTTAAAAGATCTGAACATCAAGGAAGATTGGCTAATAAGCATCCTTTCTAGAAAGCTGAAATATTTTGGTCATACCAAGCGCCACGAATGATTGGAAAAAATAATAGCAGAAGGCATGATATCAGGAAGGAGGGGCAGGGGCCGAACAACACTAAGATGGGCACATGATAAAAGTGAATTCTTTAATTAGAAAGTGCCTAGGGCAGGAGAGCTGACGTTCTGCACAGGACCTGCTATACGACGATGAGTTCCATATTATCTATGTCACAGACAGTAAACCCACCTATCCGCCATATTAACCTAAAGCCTCCAGTTCATGCTAAATAAATGTCACCTACATTTTCTTACTTGAAACTGGTAACTGCACGGTTGAAATTTACGAAGACATTGAATCGATACACATTATTATTCTTACTATTATTATTATTATTATTATTATTATTATTTTTATTATTATTATATTTATTATTATTCCTCTTATTAAAGTGCTGAGTGAGGTTTACTTTCCCTCTCAGACATATACAGTAAATAATTTGCTGCTTTCAGCTTTTTGAATTCTGTAATGCTGCTATAACTTTATGGCAACATTACATCCACTTGAGGGTTTAAATCCCGTGCATAACCTCGTATTCAACAATACGCCCATCAACATTTAAATCCATATCTTATGTGCTTTCCCTCTGTTGTACGCGTTGCCCAGAGTTTGCCAGGCTCAGACTAGTCTGCTCAGTCATCTTGGAGCTCACAGTAAATGAACATTACTACTTTTGCATGCTAAGCGGTCTTCATTACTTGTGACGGGCGAACAGCAGCCAGACAGGAGATCCAGTGTGTGAAGATTTTTACTCATCTTTGGAAAAGTATCCATATTGGAGGCCTAGTCTGTAGAAAGTTAAGGTGATCCTTAGAATGTTGGCCATAATGGGGATCTAGTCTGTGAAGATTTTTACTCATCTTTGGAACATTATCCATATTGGAGGCCTAGTCTGTAGAAAGTTAAGGTGATCCTTAGAATGTTGGCCATATTAGGGATCCAGTCTGCAGAGACATTAGACTGTCCTTAGAACACTGCCAAAATTTGGGATCTACTCTGTGGAGCAGATACTCATATTTGGAACAGTATTCAGATTGGTAGTTTAGTCTGTAGAGAATTATAGTGATCCTTACAACGTTAGCCAGTGAGTGGAGATTTATCACGATCCTTATAACGTTGGTCATTTCTGGGATTAATCTGTGGAGATATGATGATGATCAGTCTTTAGAACGTTGATCAGATTGGAGATACCGTCCGTAGAGATCTTTCATGATCCTTAGATCTACACCTTGGAGATCTATCCTGATCTTCAAAATGTTGGTCATATTAGAGACCCACTCTATTGAGATCTATGGTGATCTTAGGAACGTTTGCCATACTGGCGATCTACTTTACTGAGAGCTGGGTGATATTTAAAAAGTTAGCATGTTTGGGGACAGCGTCTGTGCATATAGGAGGCGATCCTAAGAACATTGGCTAGACTGAGGATCCAGTCTGTGGACGGACTGAATCTCTAAAAGGTTGTCCATGAATTCATCTAGTCTGATAGCTGGTCTTATCATTAGTGTCCATATCATCCAACTAGCATGCAATACATTCTGAAAAGCTAAAATTATACCCTCAGCTACTCACTCTCAGGATCGTCCTCGCTGCTGCTGTCCTCGTCACCGACGTGGCTAGGCATCGTGAGATAGACCTGCAGGAACTGGGCAAACGATCCGTTATGTGATAGGAGTTCTGAATACGAACCATGCTCAGAGATGGCGCCGTTGTAGAGAACTACAATATCGTCGACTTGGGGAAGCCAGTGGACGCCATGTGTTACAAAAACACGGGTCTGTTTTGCAAGAAGACCAAAAAATATTCATGTGATGCAAATACTAATAGTTTAAGTTGTTTAGTGAATAAATTATTGTATACTGTTAAAAAGAAAAGGTATAGTTACTGAAACAACATGCGTAAGCACAATTTTGACAATCTGCATCTTTGTAATGCAATATGTGAAATTACTAAAATTTCACACAAAAATATCTTAGGGCTTCCCCAATCAATAGGTCACTATAATTTTTAGGCGAACGGCTTTTCCCGTTAGTATGGTGTGTGACTTCCTCTTGCGTGGATCAGTGACTGGTATCTCATGGGCATGGACGCGATCAGATGTCTGATGTGGGCCTGTAGGATGGCTGCCAACTCTTCCTGAAGTGCCTGGAACAGATCACGACCATCGGCTGGAGCAAGATCTCGGCGACAAACACGTTTTTGCAGCTCTTCCCACAGGTGCTCAATAGGACTGATGTTTTCAGACAGGAATGGCCAGGGAAGCGTTGGAATGTTATTGGCAGCCAGGAACTGCGTTGTTGTGACATGACAGCATCAACTTCTCTACCACAATAGACTAGCCCACAGTCTGGACACCCCCATACTTATTTGTGTATCTATAATCTTGAATAGTCCCTCCGTATATATATATATATATATATATATATATATATATATATATATATATATATATATATATATATATATATATAGTTATTTTGTTATTGGGGAGTCCAGATGTGAGAAACATTTATAAATCACTCCTAAATTAATCCTTCTTGACGAATAGTGTCAATATGTCAATATGTATAATACGACACGTTTTCTGTGCCTGTTAAAACTTGACAGTTTGACCGCTTCACTACAAGCTTGAGCCATATTATTGCCCAACTGAGGTAGTTAAGGACTAGTATTCTGTACGTCACTACTACTCAGTCCGTTCAAGTGAACAGATGTGTCTTGGCACTGTTGCCACTTTACCGTTAATAACGAATTTGTTTTGTCAGATAATGTTAGTCTGCATGGGATGTCGGAGAATCCAACAAGTGTCCAAGCAACAGTCAGACTGTCCTTTCGACTGCCATCCTGTGTAGTCCAGCAGTATCGTTATGTCACCTGTATATATGTAGTGTATCTTAGCATCAGGTAAAACTGTGTTATACTGTTCATAACGCCTGAGTTACTTCGCAGAAGAAGTCGAGCAGTGATTGTCAACTTGTATATAGTCTACAGGCTAAGGTTAACACCAGGGAAAGTCACTGAGAGACGAATCGATCCTTCTCTACGTAAAGAGCGACGAGAATTATTACTTCACGTTGTTGCATGGAGAATCAAGAGTGCACAGAGATCTACGCTCTTGTGTTGCTGAGACGCTTGTGGATCCTGCTCAGATAAGTCCAGTTATTGACAAGGAGTATCATAGCAACCAACGCTCTCAAACCCCGAGCTATCTCACTTCTCTCTCCGTGCCAGGATGAAAATGGGTGTTAGTGGTGCCCGATGGAGACCTGTCTTTTAATTCCAGTTCTTCAACTTCAAGTTGTACTTTCCAGTTGAATAAGTTGTCTCCTAATGTTTTGGTACTCTATTACGCTATGATCTTTGTTCGGAAGTCCTCTTGTTCTTGAACGAAATTGAGTTGATCTATTTGCTTGTTGTTGTCGAAGTTACAAAAATATTTGGTCAAATCCACTGTTGCATATTCATACGACTGTGTTAACGTTGTTTTCCAGTCTGGGGGCAAAAATAGCAACGAAGACGTCTGGCCTAGTTGTACCCAAGAATTTGTAATAATCCTGTGGAGTCAGAATTCGAGTCACCTCATTCCTGAGATAGGCTGAATGTATGTTTGAACCGAGGACTTAGCTTCTAGACAAACGAGTATCTGAAGATGTAAGGGAAATGATCCTGTAGTAAAGGTACGTGGCAAACTGCCATACGACAGTTGTCAGCCGAGCAGAATCGGGTTTGGCGTTGTCCTGTTGAAAATTATATCTGTTGGCATCCCAAAATAGAAGGACATGTGGTCGAAAAATTTCTTGGACGTATCGTTACGCATTTATGCTTACTTTAATTTGCACCAACTGACTCCTTCCGGTGTAACTGATCATTCTCCACACCATTACACCCCTATCACCGTGAAGCAAAGCTTCATCAACACAATTTTGGACTAAGCCTTCATTTCATCCACGGTAGACCCTACGCCGTCTATCACGACGCTGCAACAAAAAGAAAGATTTGTCACAACCAGACACGTCTCTATTGATTGTCACTTGCCCAGGGAGGATGCTAGTTGGCCCAAAGGAGTCGGTTGTGGCGGTGGCGACTGGTATAGACAGGTCCTCGGTGTGATCGTCGTGCTCAAAGTCCAACTTCAAGCAGTCTCTTCCGAACAGTTTGATTAGACACTAGACGTCCTGGAGGCAATGCCATATCGTACACACCATATGTAATTATAAAATGAAAACGTATTATGTAACTAAATTAAAGGGATATAGGAGACTCAGTTGTCTCGAGCTGTGGCATCCGCCGAGAGTGCTGGAGGTCCCGGGTTCGAACCCCGGTGAAGGCTGGAATTTTTCCCCACGTGGACTTGTAGTAATATGCTTTGGTCTGTGGGTAGTAAGACGAGACTCCCTTGTATATTATTGCGCACGCAAAAATTGCATTGGCAGTTGGAAATAAAAAAAAAAGTAGCTTAACGGCACTGCCCGGGCAAAATGTAGAGTTAAAAATCTACCCAAAGTATTTCAGGATCCTTGCCGGTACAACGGAGTTCGTGCACTGTTTGCACTGGGCTGAGATTATTCTGACTCAGGCTTGAGTTAGAAGTAAAACGGAGCACTTATAGATTACACCCGTGTGCCATGATGTTGATCCGTTGAATAAACATGAACATAAACATTTAAGGGGTATATAATCACTGGAAGCATGAACTGAACAAGTTTGCGGTTAAATGAGTGGGAACTGTTCGTATTTTTTTTTTCTTCTTTTTCAGATCTAGTAGAAGATTGTTCCATTAATGAGCAGCAGAATATTTTAAAATCGTTTGAAAAAAAATATTTTCCAGGTTTAGGCAAATTTAGTCACTCGTTACCCCCGCACACCCAGATATCCTGGACAGAGACCAAAGAATTGATAGGAAACCCTGTAGCTCTTCGTTTTTCTGTGATTAGAGCTACCTAATGCAAATGGCCTGCTACATAATGACGTTGATGGTAAATATAGCTGCCATCGGTGACAGTGTCTTTCATTGACTTGCATGTAGACTTCTCCTCCCCCAAGCAAACATCTACCTTCCCAAAGATAGCTGCTAGAGAATGTTGATTACTGAAGGTGACATTAATGAGATCACCTTTTTGGCGAGGATACCATTCCTGCCTACAACATTCTTGAAAATAGCTTTTCCTACGTGAGCATCGACGGCACTGAGTGGATCATCGAACAGGAAGACGTCAGCGTCACTGTAGACGGCTCTAGCTAGGCTGACCCGCTGCTTCTGTCCACCACTCAAGTTGATGCCCTGTATAAATACAAAGACGGGCCTGAAAATATCATCTTCATAATAATCACTATTATCAGGAACCCTATGTCTGCCGTACCGACAAGTGGCTCGTGTTGTAGGCCCGTGATGGATAAAGCTTTCCCAAACACACTTAACCCAAACACTTACAGAGCACACAACAATCTATAATGTACCCCTATGCGAAACAAAGGCCGTTAGAGCTTATCAAATCATCTCTCACTCCTATCACGTTCTCATGGATAGTAACCGGATCCCAACCCACAGTACAACTCTTTCCTCTGCAACATAACTCAACACCATGTTCACGGAGGGTCTGCTGGGGGTGGGCAAAGCGAGTGATGACAGATCAAATCATAACAACAAACAGTACAAACTATCCGTAGCTACAAGACTTAACTTTAATACCCTGTCAGCTACCGACGTAATAAGATACGCACAAAATCCATCTCTGTCTGACGCGGCATAACACAAGAGTACTGCTACCGTCTAAAGACACGCCGTAACACAGACTCTCGTTCACTGTAGTCTAACAGTTTCACAAATATACAATCTAACAGTCGAACTGTATCAACGACTCTATGGTCGTATGTCCAGTGAAAACAACCCCTCAATTTCTAGCTGTTTGCCGGATTTATTATCGTCATCAGTTCAGTCGAGCGTTCTTGTGATACTACTAGTGACTTCGCAAGCGAAACACTCAGTCGAGCATGAGGTCCCACGGTCAGCTGTCCGTCACAGTGAGCTCCGGTTCATGTCTAGGTCAACTAGATGCAGACACAAAATATTCACTATCATCATACTAAATGTCCCATACCAACTCTGGCCTCTTACTTCCATTATCATAATCATCACTATCATCATCGTCATCATCATCATCATCTCAATTTTCGTCATCAACATCCTCCTCCTCCTCATCTTTCTTTCTGTCTTTCTTTCTGTCTGTCTGCTTGTCTGCCTGTCTGTCTGTTTGTCTGCCTGTCTGTATGTTTGTCTACCTGTCTGGCTGGCTTTCTTCTACTACTACTACTACTTCTTCTTCTTCTTCTTCTTCTTCTTCTTCTTCTTCTTCTTCTTCTTCTTCTTCTTCTTCTTCTTCTTCTTCTTCTTCTTCTTCTTCTTCTATCTCCCCAATAGAGAACATGATTTTAACAATTATTCAAAGCCTATCTTGATATTATACTATTTCACTTAAGACCCCTGATCCCCCCCCCCCCCCCCCGGGGCCCGAAATTTTTTTTTCTGGCTGCGTATATGGTAAATATTCTATGAAATGAATTTATTACATTTTGTTCAATACGTTAATTAATTATTTACAAGCAATAGGATTGTCGTGATTGTTTTTCTGATCTGCTGGCTGACCTTTTCTCCAATCTCTGTCTGGTCGCCTGCTTCCAAAATGGTGAGATCTCTCTCCAGCTCACACGCTTTGATGACCTGGGCGTAGCGGCGTCTGTTGAACGGCTTCCCGAACAGAATATTATCTCTGACAGTGGCGTTCTGTATCCAGGCTTGCTGGGAGACATAAGCTACTGTGCCCTGGACAAAACATGGGATTATTATACAGTACAACAGTTGATAGATGTTTGTGACTTTAATAGACAATTTAAACTTCAGTAGTGTGCAATGTCTGCATAGACGGTCGGCTGTCAATACAACTGCTGAAACCGACACAAAGCGGTCTGCTGCCTTATTCAGCAGCTGAAATCAAACTCGACCCTATGAAGTTACGAAGGGTGTTCGCCCCGCCTAAATCACAGATGCCGACGCAAGTTAAGAGGGAACATGCGCCTGCAGTGGTAGTAAAAGAAACACAACTACCAATATCACCATAGCAACAGTTGAAAGAGAGTGCAGGGTGTGTTACGGGGAAAAGGCCGATCAAGAAATTAAACACGTGATATTAGCCCGTGTAAAAGTGTTTCAATGTTTTATTCCGATAGAAGGGTTCATTTATTGCTTTCATTATATTCAATAGTTACTGTTGGATGCACTAGACGGCATCAGTTCCATATCTGTCGTACTGTCGGTTGGCAAAATCGATTTAATCGCATCGTGTATTATACTCTTCATACAGAGAAGAATCCAGCATTATTCTATAATAATCAAAATGGCGCGACCTAAGAAAGCTGCCAAGTGACAGTCTCTATGAGGCAGACAAGAGGAAGGCTGAGGAGGCAGCCAAGAAAGTAGGAGCACCAGTAAAAGACATTTCCACCCATCAGTTTGTCTACTGCAGACGGGAGGTAAAGCAAAGGTTTGAGGTTTTGAACAACGGTTCAACATCATGGCACACGTGTAGTAACCCATAAGTGCTCCATTTTTCTTCTAACTCAAGTCTGAGCCCGAAGAAGTGCAGAACAGTGCACAGGTTCTGTAGCACCGGCGAGGATCCTGATATACTTTAGGTAGATTTTAAACTCCAAATTTTGCCCAGGCAGCGCAATTAGGCTACTTTTTTCGATTTCCAACAGCTAATGGATTTTTTACGTGCGCAACAATACGACCGATCTCACTACCCAGAGACCAGGGGGAAATACTAGAAGTCCAAGTCCAGGTAAAAAAAAAAAAAAAATGTAGATTATCTCTTCCTCATGCGGATTTTCAGTTCTCTTCATAAGTCTTTGTGCACATCATTTGTTTATAAAAACCTCACAGTGATAGTGGCAGGGGAAAATGTCACTCCCAGAAATTACTGTGGAATCATTGTCTCATCATATTAGCACAGTTTAGTTATTAAATCTTCTCCTCCTTCGCGTTTAACGGCTGTAAACTCTGGCGGTAAGTTCTGCTCGTTTATTCGCTTCGGAACTCTAGCCCTGTTCCGGAACCTTAGTGTTGCATATACAACCGTTTCACAAGTCTGACCCATCTGCATGAAGACTGTTGGTTCCTTGTCTCTCAGGCAGATGTACTCCTACTTTAAAGGAAGCAACCAATTAGTCGACTCTTACGACATTCTTTCGGGCAGGCAGTGAGTCTATTCTTGTTTTCCCCCACAATGGGATCCCGGAACCCACACGCGTAAGGTATTAAATAAGACAGGTACTAATGTAAATGAATTGTTCTCGACATAAAGACATACCCAGGCCACAGCATGTTACTGTATGTTGATGAGTGTAGCTATAGAGAAAAGCATTGCAATCCTTTATTTAAAAAAATTGGTGTGGGTACCGTCTCCACAATAAAGAGTGGTTGCAATGCGCATATCCACTGCTGTCCGTATAATATTAATATTCCACCGCGCGACTCATATCGAGGTTGGAAATTCACAAAAACCGTTTTTTATTGTCCGCGGTAGACAATATCGAATCATTGGTGTCCCCAATTGACGTTTTGAGTATCGACGCAAGTGCCTGAGCCTGCCTAACAAGACCAGCGCTGTCCAGGTGAAAACGTGACCAGTCTGCATATAACAGTTCTGCATTATTATAGAACACTGCCGTTCAGTATGTTCAAGCAAACTTACTTTGACTATCACTTGGCCTTGAACTTTCTCCATGTCCCCGAGAATGGCTGCGATCATCGAGGATTTTCCCGACCCCACAGGGCCGACAATGGCTGTGAGCTGTCCCACTGCAACCGTCAAGTTGATGCTGCCCCAAGAAGTGCAAGAAACATAAACAATGTCAATGAAAAATAAACAAGGCAATATGAAAACAATATAAAATAAATCTGCTTTCTTTCAGAGAACGATATTGACAATACTATACGTCTTACTGATTTAAATGAAGTATCATCCTTCATCCCATCATGCACCATGTTGATAAGTGAAAGCGGTCATGGTCCTTCATCTGACATGATCACAAGAATCATGGATCAGACCTGGATTTATCGAAACACAATTTGTTTCCGGAAAAGCAAAGATCTGTAATGATGCCAGATGTACTCTACGACATGTATACAAGACAAAAAAAAATATATATATATATAATATACAATTGTTTGCATTGATAGACCGAGAAAAAGCATTTGACTGGTCAAACGTCAATAATTTTGAAAATCGAGGTATCTAGTAAATATATGTAAACGTCAAAATGTAGTAAGTTTAATGCCAGAATGACATTTATCACACATATAGATAAAAATCAGTAGAGCATTCTAAATGAGGATGATAAATGCAGATTAATTCCTCTTTGCGGAAGACCAAACGCTCACAGTGAGTACAGGGGAAGAGCTGTTAGGGTACCTAGATAATCTAAATATAGCACAAAATATAAACATTAACATTAAAATGAAAAATTATAACCATTTCAATAAAGGAACAAGCGGTCAATTTATACACAGGAAATCAACAACTCAAGCAAGCCAGACTTTAAGCGTTTAGGGAGCATAATACAATCTAACTGAAAAATGAAAACACAGACAGAACATATGTAGTAAAGCAAATCAAATAATTGGATACACGCCACCAGTATTGCAACAATAAACATGTAACATATGACACCCGAAGAACTGTTAGTGTTTTAACCAACGTTGTTTTACCATAGCAAAAGTGGGCAATATCACCACACAAAAAAAAAGAAGTAAAACTGTAACAATAAAAATAAAATGTCTTCGACCAATCATATAGTGACCAGACAAGACGGGATAATAAATGATGATATCAAGAACAAGTTGGGACGGAGCCAGTACTAAACTATATTTGAAAAAACAACAATAGATCAAATAGTTTGTACATGTATCGACTACCACCGGACGGTGCACCACAGACAGCCCTGTCATTTAGAAGAATTGTAGCCAAGAGGTTGACCACGCAAACGATGGATAGAATGGAAAATCCGAGGTCGTGAATACCAGCTTCGTCTTCGTCATACCAACGTTTTATCAAATACTGACGCAGAAAGGCGCCCATCAAGTTTGCCATTAGCGTGATGCTGACTAACTACATCATCTACCAAGTATAGAGTCATCTCTGAAATATAGAACTAGCCCTATATGCGCAGTACGCCTGAAAACGTGGACAAGTGTCCTTAACTTGACTTTCATACTGATCTGTTGACAGTAGCCATTGTCACTATAGTGTGATCTCTGCTCGTCCTCTCGAAACTTGATACCGTGACTCTCAACAGTCACCAAATCCCTCTGCTTTAATTAAACTAAGACAGTCACCAACATGAACAAATCTACGCATATCTAATCAAACACCCACACACACACACACACACACACTGATATAGATATCTGTATATGTATATACAAACATCTCATACATACAAAAACATACTGCCACATAAAAAACACACACTCATAAATACAACCCCCTTCCCCCACCCCCCCCCCCAAAATTAATCAGTTAAATAACTAAGAATTAGTTATCTGTTTTCTTGGGTCGAGGGCGGCGTATAGGACAGAGATCATAGCTTTCCATGTCCGGCGGTTCGTTGCCACCTGTTTTCTTGGGTCGTGGGCGGCGTATAGGACAGAGATCATAGCTTTCCATGTCCGGCGGTTCGTTGCCACCTGTTTTCTTGGGTCGAGGGCGGCGTATAGGACAGAGATCATAGCTTTCCATGTCCGGCGGTTCGTTGCCACCTGTTTTCTTGGGTCGAGGGCGGCGTATAGGACAGAGATCATAGCTTTCCATGTCCGGCGGTTCGTTGCCACCTGTTTTCTTGGGTCGAGGGCGGCGTATAGGACAGAGATCATAGCTTTCCATGTCCGGCGGTTCGTTGCCACCTGTTTTCTTGGGTCGAGGGCGGCGTATAGGACAGAGATCATAGCTTTCCATGTCCGGCGGTTCGTTGCCACCTGTTTTCTTGGGTCGAGGGCGGCGTATAGGACAGAGATTATAGCTTTCCATGTCCGGCGGTTCGTTGCCACCTGTTTTCTTGGGTCGAGGGCGGCGTATAGGACAGAGATCATAGCTTTCCATGTCCGGCGGTTCGTTGCCACCTGTTTTCTTGGGTCGAGGGCGGCGTATAGGACAGAGATCATAGCTTTCCATGTCCGGCGGTTCGTTGCCACCTGTTTTCTTGGGTCGAGGGCGGCGTATAGGACAGAGATCATAGCTTTCCATGTCCGGCGGTTCGTTGCCACCTGTTTTTCTTGGGTCGAGGGCGGCGTATAGGACAGAGATCATAGCTTTCCATGTCCGGCGGTTCGTTGCCACCTGTTTTCTTGGGTCGAGGGCGGCGTATAGGACAGAGATCATAGCTTTCCATGTCCGGCGGTTCGTTGCCACCTGTTTTCTTGGGTCGAGGGCGGCGTATAGGACAGAGATCATAGCTTTCCATGTCCGGCGGTTCGTTGCCACCTGTTTTCTTGGGTCGAGGGCGGCGTATAGGACAGAGATCATAGCTTTCCATGTCCGGCGGTTCGTTGCCACCTGTTTTAGGTCTTGGATGTTTGTTAGGCCCATGGATGAGCCTTCCCTGGTGATGGTTCTACGTAAAGACTCTTTTGATCTACCTCGTTTTCTTTTCCCTGTCGGTGTCCATACGAGGGCTTGATGTGGGAGTCTTGACTTATCCATTCTGAGTGCATGGCTGATGTAGTTCCAGCGGCGCTTTCTTATAAAACTTTACATTGTCTTGCTTGGTTTCTTCTCTTATTTGCGTATTGGATCTTAAATCTGCCCAGTCGAGATTTAGTATTCTTTTAAAACATGTTTTCCTTAAGCTGTAAAATTTTAAATCTAGAGCTACTGTTGCTTTTTAACTTTTCGCATCCACGAGTTTGCACTGGAATCACAAAAGAGTTGAAGATCAGCTAAGAGTTGAAGAACTAACGAAGACACAGAAATACACACTCATACATTACGCAAACGATCAGAGAAATGTGGACATTTGCTCACTTTCTAAGTGTTGGCTTCAGCTCCGGGTCCCAAGTAAATGTCCCGTTTGTAATACAGACCCCATGTTCTGAGAAAGAAACAACAAAGGAGACAGTTCTGGGAAACGGCACCATGTTTATACTCGTCATTTTTCGACACGGTTGTTTTTCATTGTTTTGTCCTTTTTAGGGTCGGATGTGTGTAAGTGTGTGAGTATTGATGTGTAGATGTTGGTCTTGTGTGTGTTGCTGCTGTGTGTGTCTATGTTTTTGTAGTTGTTTATGTTTGTTGTTGTTGCTAGAGTTGGTTTTGTTATAGTTATGTACATGGGCATCTTGTTTGCTGTCGTCGTTGTTGTTGTCGTGGTTGTTGTCATTGTTGTTGTTATGTACACAGATGCCTAAATGTTAATGTTGGTAATAAACTCATTTGGTAGTTTCGAGTTCATGATATTCCGGTAGAGGCTTTTTGTGTGGATTAAATATGTATTTCGTTCCCTTAACTTGGGCATTAACAATAGGAAGTAAGTTTTTTTGTTTGCTTGTTAGTGTAAATAGGATGTCTGGAATTAGCCCTGGTGGACTAGCAATTGGAAAAGGGATTAATAAATGAACCTGCATTGACGTCCCATACAGTGTTTGTCGGGTCCAGATCCTCTTTCGTGAGAAAGTTGTCCAGCCGCTGGATCGAGACATTGATCTGAAAGAAACGTACAAGAGAGTAAACATAGTGGATAAGCTTGCATAATGTAGCAGTCAGTAGAAAATAATTACTTAATGCAACATAAAATATCACGAGATAGCTCAACGAAAGAAATGGGAAGGATGCGTACAGATACAATCGAAAGTTTCCACCAAGTCTTCATCAGCGGAATACTAAATATAATACAAACTGTGACTGGAAATCTCAACGGACAAGACAATAGTGCTTTTAAACAACCAAGGCCAACATGAAACTAAGAGATACATAGCCGGGAAAAAGGTGGGCATGAAAGGCAATATTACGAAACAAAAGAAATAAAAAGGGTTTGAAAAAATAAAAAAGAGCGAGAAACGTGAACGAATTCAATTCATAAATTCAAAGAAAAAAAAAAGGTGAATAAAATTAGGCAAAATTATAATAAATACAATTAAACACATAAATGTAAGAATATGTAATGATTAAGAGACATCTATGTGGAGGCCTGTAAGAGTATGAAAGGGAGACATTATTCTTCACAGACATGGTGAACAGAATGCCAGACACGAATTAAGAAAGCCAACTTTACAAGACTGTGATCACACATAATGGAGCACGTTGTAGCGTCATGCTTTCACCGTAAAGCCCCATCAACAATAAATAAAGCTGAATTATACTGCAGAATAATCCTGTGTGGGTTCCGCTGCCCTATTTGTACGGCGGAGGATTAGGGGGGGGGTGTGGGTGGGGGGGGGGGGTGTGGGGGGGGGGATACATCCGCTGTTTCTCAACAAATATGGTATTTAAGAGACTATTTAAGGACGTGTTGAGTCTAAAGGAGCAGATATCATAGCCTAGATGTAAACCACAACATAACGTGCCAGTGGCTCTTTTAAATCTTTTAAAAGTAAAACTCAAAATAATTCAAATAAACAAATGATGACATAAAAATATTTCAACGTATTCTTATATTTTTTTATGGTGTGGCGTTGTTCGGACGGTCTGTCAACAACAACTTTTTGCTTCGTGTGCTCTCACTTATTTATTATTACAATTCTGCTCCATGGCATGACAGTAAACAGTTGGGGAGTTTCTCTGCTGATGTCACCTGTTCCGCTTATACGTCATCTTCATTTTCCCATGCTTCACTATAGTGTGCTTTGTTCACAAAGAATGTTTTTGTTTCTTTAAATGGGATGGGTCGATTTTTTTTTGGTGGAGCCAACTTCTTGCAGATTCAATTCAGCAAGGCTTTCATCCAAAGTAATCTTATCATTATTATGTTAAACTATAATTCTTCAGCTTTAACAAAACACCCGTAATTATCCTTTTTTTAAGGATTGTTAGTATCGGGGTTGGATGGGGGTGGGGGGGGGGGGGGAGGGAGGAGTTGTTCTGGAGGAAAGGGGTGGGGTCTTGAGCGTAAAGTCTGGCTCCACTTGACTAGACATATTGTCTCTCTGTTCTTCTACATATTCAACATTAACGTCCCTACATTGTTGCTGACTTTCGTAAGAACTCTTTCTCATTCAACTCTTTGAGTCCCAGGGGGTTTAGCATCACAGGCCTAGGGGGGTAGTAAAGAAAGTAATAAAATCTGCGCATCATGCGTTCATTGGGCTTCTAGGTAGGAGCCATGAACGTATGATGTGTTCCTTGGGACTCAAAGAGTTAAGTTTGCATAACTTTATTGCATTGATTGTTCAAAACCCTGTTAAATTAAGCTGCGCATGCTCCCCGTGGAGTTCTCATTATTATATTGCTTCTATCTGAGATTTCCCTAATTTATTACTAAAATATATCTTCAACCTGCTGTCTTCAGTTTAAATAAAACTCTTTTGACGCCTTGAAGTAAAAGCACACACGATCAGAATGAGATATAACATGTTAACCACTAAGTTTGGTCATAGAAGATACACTCTGTGTGTGCACAAATAAATATTTACTCATTGCATATTAGTTAATTTAAAAAAAAAATATATGTATTTATGTCAGCATGAAGATTACAATATATATTCATAAGAATGGATATTTACTGAATATTGCTCTATATTCACAAGAACGGATATTTACCGACTATTATTATATATTTAAAAGAACGAATATTTACCAACTATTGTTATATATTTAAAAGAACGAATATTTACCGACTATTGTTCCATATTCAAAAGAAACGTGCCTTCCGTAGCGGTATTTTAAAGGGCAAATAACGGACCATATCCACTAACAAACATGTCCTAAGATTTGACTGATTAGAGGCAACATCATTTGAAGTCATAGTCCATCTGACTGAGACGCAAGGAATCAACAGGCTTCATATGAATAAGCCACATCTGTAAAACTGATGTGCACGCAAAGCTTTAGTTCTGGGACAAGACCGAAGTCCAGATTTCAACAAACAACCAAAGCTGTCCGCCAAGGTTTACAGTCGAGGGATGTTAAGAAGAATAAGAACAGACCAGTGTAATCCAGTAGATTCAATAACTGAGGTTTGAGGTTTGAACAACAGATCAATATCGTGGCACACGGGTAGTAACCCATAAGTGCTCCGTTCTTATTCTGACTCAAGTCTGAGTCTGAAGAAGCTCAGCACAGTGCACAGGCTCTGTTGCACCGGCGAGAATCCTGAAATAGTTAACGTAGATTTTTAACTCCAAATTTTGCCTGGGCAGCGCCGTGAGGCTTCTCTTTTCGATTTCCAAGGGAATTTTTTTATTTGCGCAGCAATACACACTGGTGTTTGATCTCACTACACAGAGACCGGGTGGAATTATTAGAAGTCTAGGTCCACATGAAAAAATCCCAGCCCTTACTGCGGATTGAACCCCGAACCTCTAGCACTCGAGGCGAACACCATGCCTCGAGACCACGTAGCACCCTATTACCTCAGGTTGAAATGACAAGAAGTGAGTACACTGCTGCCTGTGATTGTGGAGCAGAAAAACAGACCCCTGAGCACATACAACAGTACTGCCCTTACCTCTCCCAGCAAAGACTGGATCTGGCCCAGGGGATCTACATTGCGAGATAAGCTATGAGGGACCAGTGGCGACATTAAACGTACAATCCTATTTTTGACCCAGACGGGACTCAATGTTTAGCATGACTGATGAAGAAGAAGAAGAAGAAGTACACATAAACAATATGATTGTGAAATGCCATCTTCAATCACTTCCATGGCTAGTAAAGGTCGCTTGCGAGTAATGCTGACTTTGCTTTGACTGCAGCCTAAGGACCATTTACAGTTTATAACTGTCCAATTCCCGTGAAGTCATTGAAACCCAGCAAAGGGTGACCTGAAAAGTTCTTGGGCACTGTTTGCGCAGCAGATGGTAGACCCACTACACGAGTACTCTGCCGCACCGAGTTTTGTAGTTTGACTGCAGTAATTGGCTACTGCGATTTCTACTTGATTTGATGGTAACTGAACAATGACGAAGTCTTCTTCTGTGTTCACTGTCTGTAAGCTCCGTCGGAAAGTCCTGGTCGTTCATCCATTTGGACGTCGGCTTTGTGCCAGGGCCTGAGTTTTGCGTGCACATCCCATTGACAGGCTTATTTGTGTGCCGTTGGTTGTTCCGTGCGCACTCAAACTTCAAAGGGGGTCAACAATTGTTCTTCTTCTACCTCATGCTTGTCAAGCAAAATCCATCGCCTCAATATGGGACGCCATTTTTTCCCCGTCATTTAAAAGCTCCTCCCTGGCTGTAGTCGGGCGCTCTAATATAACCTAACGGTTGAACAGGGTTTCTGGGACCTCCCCCTGGGTGATCTTCAACATGGTGGCACTTTGTGTCACCGGCTGTTTATCACTTGGTGGATGTCCTGTGGGGCTGAATCTCACTCACTCATACTTGTTTGAGGAGACAGTGGGTCTGTGTTTGATTTCCCGACATAGGGCTCCGATACCCACACGATTTGATGGTAACTGTACAATGATTAAGTGCCCGATATCTAGTCTTATCTTTTGCAGCAGCTTCTTGTGTGTCAGTTGATGACCAAGAAATTGACCGCAGACAGACTTTAATGTGTTCCTGTTTTACTGGTCGCCTTGTATTTGTTCTTATGCTGCAGTTCCCCTACATTCTTCTTCTTGGAAGCTGCTGCTGTGGCATGTTTCCTACCAGCGTTTCATCTGGCAGATACCAGAAATAGAACGTGATGTTAGAAGAGATTGTTAGGAGCAATCATAATCTGTAAATGCAGTTTTAAAAAAAACAACATGTTTCGTGAATAGGGATGTACTAATTGAATAGTCAAGTAAATAGGTTAACTATAAACTCTGGAACATACCTGCACTGTGTATGTAAGTAGCGTGGAAATGTAATACAGGGGCACTTTCAGCAAGTTAAATAAGGCGAGACACACGAAGGCTTTCTGTGGGTCCAGAACATTGGTTCTGTCACTCAAGAGGTAGGTCGCAAATGTGAAGAGACCAACCTGTCAAAGAAAAACTTCAGCGTCAACTTATCTCTCTGTTTCTCTCTCTCTCTCTCTCTCTCTCTCTCTTTCTCTCTCTCTCTATTTCTCTCTCTATTTCTCTCTCTCTCTCTAGTTCTCTTCACTCTATCTCTCTGTGTGTGTGTATATGTATATACATATGTATGTGTGTGTGTGTGTGTGTGTGTGTGTGTGTGTGTGAAGGACATTGTAAATATAGCAATTCGTCCACATTGATCCGCTGTCTAATTCCTTCCTTGCTTAGTTACTGTGATGAATCGTGTGTAGTTTACACAAAATTGAACTTCAGTAACGTTACATTGCCACTGTTTAAAAACGCTTGTTTGTTTTTCCTTTTTCGCCTTAAATTGTTTCTTGCGTGAATATTCTCTATCATTCTTAGTAGAAGAGAACAGATTATCGTCAAGCAATAAAGAATACCGAGATGTCCGTATCCTCCTATGATAACCGGTTCTTTATCTTTTTCATGCAAATATGGCTGCCAAAACTCGATTCTGCCTTCTACCAATGAATAAATTTATCAAGAATTGACATCATCGTATTCGTACATCCCCACATGTGCTCCGTCCCCTTCTTCAGCAACCAACAAAGAGTTGATATGATAATAGTACCAGCTGCAACTTGATTAAAAGTCTGCCTCTTTTTCAACCTTCAGTGTTGAATATTTTCCACAACCTCTACACACCTCCCGTTGAAACAGTGGTTCGGTGTATGGATTCCCTCCCTATCTGCTCTTTTGCACTGACTATTTGATCCCACAGAGCCTTAACCATATCATCTTTATCATATACTAGCTGCCCAGCTCGGTAGCGTAGTTGTTTAAACCTGACTTAACGGCGACCGGGTGACGAACTCCTTGTGGTCTGGGTTCTCACCCGGGGGTAGACAGAAAAGCTACATTTCTCCCAGATTTACAGTATCTATCATGGAATTCCTGGGGTAGGAGCCTGTCCTACAACTAGGCGCGTCCACCAGGTGGCGGATGGTGGAAAGGCCTCTAGATATAGAGGTTAGCCACGAATAAATTGAATAAGTGGCCGTGGACCAAAACAGGTGATGGTCATTGAGAGGAGGCGAGCTAGTTGGTGGGACAGCTTACTCTATAAAATACCTCAAAACTCTACGAAATGGCAATCGGCGGGTAAGAGGCGCCATAACCTCTCCCTCTGCTGCCTTGCAGGGTAAGTCTCTTTAGACAAAGGCTATTGGAGTCAAACCATGTATAGACCGGTGAAAGGCAAGGGGAAACCACCGCTGTACTATCTCTCGTAAATCATGCCTCAAAATAATACGAATTTAGATAACGACGTGAATGGGGATTCCAGTGGAATCACCTCGTCCGGGAGGGAGCATCATGTTCTACGGGTGATACCCGACCGTCATCCAGCTACTGTAGAAAAAGGTAATGGTAGAAACATCCTGAACATTGGTACATAGAATGTCAGAACACTCCTACACAACGGAAAGCTGGATAACATCAAGATTGAAATGAAGAAAATGAACATCAACATATTAGGAATTAGTGAAATGCGATGGCCAGGAGCACGGGAAAAGTATTCAGATCAGCACAGGATTATTTACTCGGGTGGGGAGGAATATAGTAAGGGAGTTGGTATTGTTTTGGATCCAAAGAACTCAAAAAATGTAAAAGAATTTTGGACAATATCAGATAGAGTACTATTAGTAAAACTTCACGGCAGACCGTTTGACATCAACTTAGTACAGATTTATGCCCAACCAGCAGATAGTTCAGAAGAAGATATTGACGCATTTAATGACGAGTTAGACATGGCTGATGATCAATGCGAAAACTGTGAAGTAACAATGGTACTTGGAGATTTCAACGCGAAAGTAGGAAGTGAAAAAGTGTACGGAATAACGGAATAAAGAATGTGAGAGGTGACAGATTAATAGCATGGGCTGAGTCGCGCAGCATGATAATAGGTAACACCTGGTTTAAACACCATCCTCGGAGATTGTGGACTTGGAAAAGTCCTGGTGATAATGTATGCAATCAGACTGATTATATTTTGATTTCAAGAAGATTCCGGAGCAGCTTAGTTGGAGCAAAAACTAGACCAGGAGCAGACTGCTTTAGTGACCATGTTCCAGTTGTAGGAAGAATTAGAATAAAACTAATGAACATAAGAAAAACACCACAGAACATCAAGTTAAATTTAAGAATTCTTAGAACGGATAAAGAAATTAAGGACCAGAACAATGTCATTGTACAAAACCGATATAATGCAATGGAAATTATACAGACTATTGATGAACAGTGGGATATGTTGCGTGAGTCAATTCAGAAGACATCAAAAGAGACAATCCTACCAACCCATAGAGTTGCAAAAAAGAAATGGATGTCAACCGAAATTCTGCAGTTGATGGATGAAAGAAGGAAGAAAAAGAATGATAAAGAAGAATACTCTAGAATACAAAAAGAAATAGTGAACAAATGCAAAGTGGCTAAAGAAGCCTGGCTGAATCAAATGTGTTCAGAGATTGGGGAAAATCACGGGAAAGACTCACATTCCATGTACCAACAGATAAATATGTTAACAGGAAAGATGACACGTAACAGCACTGGATGTTTGAAATCAAAAGATGGTGACTTATTAATGGGACATAGTAATATAATTAACAGATGGACAGAGTATGTAGGGGAATTGTATGATGATAATAGACCAGATGTAGAACTGCAGACCAACAATGATGGTCCACAAATAATGACTGCAGAAGTTGAGGATGCAATACATCATTTGAAGAAAGGAAAAGCACCCCGGTCAGACATCTCCCTGGAATAAATCGAAGCACTGGGAGATTTTGGATTTGAAATAATAACTAAACTTTTAAATGATATTTATAATAGTGGGTATATTCCAAATGACTTTTTCCAAAGAAACCAGGCACTTTAAAATGGGAAGATCATCGCACAATAAGTCTTATGGGTCACATGAGTAAGATTTTATTGAGAATAATTATGAGAAGAATAAGAAACAAAATTAAACCAGAAATCAGCGATGAACAATGTGGATTTGTAGAAGCAAAAGGTACAAACAATGCCAAATACATCCCAAGGACAATGTCAGAAAGAGCTATAGAAGTAAAGACTGATTTGTACATGTGCTTTATAGACTTTACAAAAGCATTTGACTGTGTGAAGCATGAAGAAGTAATCAAACTGTTAGAAAAATTAAACATTGATGAGCAAGATATACAAATAATAAAGAATATGTGTTGGCAGCAAACAGCAGCTATGAGAATTAACAACTGTTTAGGTACATTTCAAAGCATAAAGAGGATGTGTACTGTCACATGATTTGTTTTCAATATACAGTGAAAATATAATGAGATCTTAATTGATATGCACGGAATTGTGGTTGGTGGGCACAATATAATAAATTTACGTTATGCTGATGACACAATCTTGATAGCAACAAGTCAGAAAGAACTACAGGAAATGATAGACATTGTGGTGTTAGAAAGTGGAAGAATGGGCCTCAGTTTGAATAATGGGAAGACAGAAATAATGGTGGTATCAAAGAAACGAATCATTCCTAAATGTGTAATAAAAGTCGATGGTGTTATTTTAGTACAAGTACAGAAATTTAAGTATCTTGGCACATGGATAACATCAGATGGAACATGCATAACTGAGATAAGAAACAGAATAGGACATGCAAAAACTGCATTTTATAAAATGAAGAACATCTTGTGCAATATATCCTTGTCATTGAGAGCTAGAAAAAGAATTCTTGCTTGCTACAAACATCCAGTTTTAACATATGGCTGTGAATCCCGGCAATCAGTAGGCAGGCCAAACAATTTCTAGAGGCCTCAGAGATGTGGTTTTACAGAAGAATGCTTAGAATCTGGTAATCTGGTAATCTGGTAATCCTAGTTTCAGCTTCATAGCAGACGGGACACCCTATAGTTGCTCCGCTCCTGTGCCAACGAAAAACACACGTAGCTCACAGTGTCACACCATGCACTCAACTCAGAAGCTGGGCTTAGAATACATTGGACAGCCAAAAAGAGCAACCAAGAGGTTTTGAAAGAGGCGAGAGCCCGAAGACAACTTATTACAGACATCAGAAGGAGACAGTCATCATTTTTCGGCCATGTTATGAGAAAAGGGAAAATAGAACATGCTGTGACCACTGGAAAGATCTGTGGAAGGAGGGATAGAGGAAGACAACGAGAGAAGATGTTTGACAGTCTTGTTGCATGGCATGGAGGTGTGTCGGCACACGAACTGATACATGCTGCAAGAGATCGCAGATTATGGAGAGGCATGATCGCCCACGCCAGTCGGCAAGGCACCTGATGATGATGATGATCATGAAATTAAGGCCGAATGGTTGCGATATCCATAGTACCGAGCCAAAGGGTTAACAACACATTGTTTCTGGATACTTAAAATAAAAATCACACACTAGCTTACAGCCCAGAGGAGCGACAGCAGCTAATATTTCAGTCTACTCCTTAGATAGCACACTGTAATCTCCCGGACAGAAAATCACTACAGACCCATCCATATACTAGTGATGTCACCGGGCCGTGAATTTTCATTGATCGGATTTTTAACCGCTATACCGCTGCCTTCTATAGGTTAATGACCTAGCCTGTTTATCTCACACTACTCACCTAGTGTATCTACGGCGAACTGCAGTTCTCTAGAAATTTCTATACGTTTTCCTCCTTGAGTTTAAACTAAGATATCGTCAGCAAAAGTCAAGATTCTTGCTATACCCACTGTCTTTATGGCCACGGTCCTGCTAGGCTGTACATTGAAAAGCACTGGGAAAATGGCGGAACCGTGTTGGAGACCGATACTAGGAGCTTCACGAGCCTAGGCGAAAGGCAGTATGCTGTTCATACAGGACTACTGCAGAACAACTGATGATCCAGAGACTGAACTCCATATCTATAAGCATGTAAGTTATACCTAACCCTGTTTTACGCATTTTCTGAAACCAGCATAGCCACCACTGTGTCATGTTTATGTTTAAATCCCTCATATACATCGTCAGCCAGGATAGCGTTTTCCCATGTTTCCTTTCTTGATCAGGTAAATTCCTAAACCTGACGGTAAGAGTCTATGTTTCTTTAAGGTAATCCTATAACTTGACTACACCATCTTTTGAAACATCATTCCTAATGTCCTCTGTAACGTAATAATTGCATAACAATTCACTTTGTCATAAAGTTTGTTTGTCTTTGGGAGTTGAATGCGGTAACTATGCAGCCAGTTCACTGGAACCGATGGTGTTAAAATATTGTTGTTGAAACATAACGCAATTCCACAAGTTCCTCATTACTTGACCTTCTCATCTGACTATATCTCTCCATCTGGTTCGGGTACATCATCTTTTGTTTTCTTCAGCATACATTTTATATCATTTACTTGCACAATTTTCTCAGATTTATCTCTGCTTGTTCTAGTAAGATCACTAACAACAGCACTTCTGATGGTTCAGTCATTCTGATCTATTTTTTATAAAAAATCTCGTCAGAAAAGCCTCCCCACTTCTCATTGTCATTTGTCAGGACCTGGCCATTTTCACAGTTAATCGTACCAACTGAGGTGGGCCGCTCCTTTGGTGTCCTTTTCCTATGCGGTTTCCAGAACTTTCCCATTGTTCTATCTCCCCGTCTCGTTTATGACCTGCTCCTTTTTCACTTCTTTTAAGCATTTGTGACATGCAACTTGAGCCCAGCAATCTTGGCTCGCTTTTCGTCTTCTGCTGTTCTCATCCCCTCTTGCGGAAATAGAGTCAACCTTCGTATTTGATATTCCCACCCCCGCCCGATCCCTTTTTCTTTTTTCCCCACCTTTCCTCCATGGTAGTTGAATTAATCTACTCCTTGTGACCCCTGACCATGCTCTGCTCCCTAGGCTCCCATTAGGCAACTCTGTCTTGTCATACCTGAAGACCTTACGCGCCTTCCTTACCATGGTCTTGTCCAATTAAGACAGCAAGACATTAGATAACAGGTGGTTACTTCTATGATCACCAAGTACACTCCATACAGTGCCTGCTTCTGTAATCCGAGAGACAAGTGCCAGACCAACTGGGGCTGCGTTGTCTCGAGGCATGGTGTCCGCCTCGGGTGCTAGAGGTTCCGAGTTCAATCCCCGGTAATGGGATTTGTTATTTTTACGTGGACTTGTACTTCTAGTAATTCCTCCTGGTCTCAGTGTAGTGAGATTGGACGTTAAAGATCTCTTGGCTGTTGGAAATCGAAAAAAGTAGCCTAACGGCGCTGCCTGGACAAAATTTGGAGTGAAAAATCTCAAAACTCAATGGCAGTTTTAAAAACGGCGACCAAAGTGAGAACAAGTGTATCTTTCTGCAAACAGCTATTTCATTCACTAGGAAGCATTTTAAAAATGCATGCGTTGGGACCCGTACTTTCTGACATCTCCTCTTGCTAAGATATTGCATGGTGTTTGAAAAGTAACTATAAAAAATATTGACATTGCTTTACATTAAAAAAATTATTTTGTTGAGTGTATTGTTGAGCTATTAAATGATATTTATTTTCTGTTAATACTGTATGTGTATATTTGAATGCTGAGGAACCAACATTCGGCACACATTAAGCTAGGTATGCAAAACTGATGTGCACGCTGCACTCAAATCTTCAAAACAACTTAGACTTTCCGCCGGAGTTAACAGCAGTTGAACACGAAGAAGAAGACGAAGAAGAAGTAGAAGAAGAAGAAGAAGAAGAAGAAGAAGAAGAAGAAGAAGAAGAAGAAGAAGAAGAAGAAGAAGAAGAAGAAGAAGAAGAAGAAGAAGAAGAAGAAGAAGAAGAAGAAGAAGAAGAAGAAGAAGAAGAAGAAGAAGAAGAAGAAGAAGAAGAAGAAGAAGAAGAAGAAGAAGAAGAAGAAGAAGGAGGAGGAGGAGGAGGAGGAGAAGAAGAAGAAGAAGAAGAAGAAGAAGAAGAAGAAGAAGAAGAAGAAGAAGAAGAAGAAGAAGAAGAAGAAGAAGAAGAAGAGGAAGAATGAGAAGGAGGAGGAGAAATGTCAAATAACCATGAAGTTCCCTAAGATACCCACCAGAAAAGGCGCCATGCCCCACAAGACACCAGCAAGTATATACAGTAAGGCAATCAGCCTCAGCTGTTTCACCTCGGCTTCACGGATCACCTCAACTTTTCTCTTGAACTCATCCTCCCAGGCATACAGTTTCAGTACCTGTGCGAGGTAAACATTAACAAAGCAAATTGAGATTGCAGGATGCTTTAAGTGTTTAGTACTTGCATGATGCCAGGTGATCTCTTATAGTCTTGCATATTCATCAGACATCGAATTTCGGGAATGCTTAACACATTGCTATTATTTCTATCACACCACAATGGGCTACAACTAATAGTGTGACGACAAAGGTAAAGCAAATTGACTACATCAATTTCTTTCCTTATATTTTCCAACTTTCTATTTTGTGTGTATTTTGACATTTCATTCACCAATGACCAAGCCATTATTAACATTTAAGGTGTATAAGACACTAATATACATACGCAACGAAACCTGGCAGCTCATGTTCGTTTAGCCCCTTTCTCCCCCTCCCCACCCTTAAAATGTGCTTAAACAAGCCTGTGAGCGCTCCCAGCACCTAGACATTCGTAAGGGGATGTGCTCCTAAAGATTTTTTTCTGGCGGCTCTCCTGCCATCTAAAACTATCTGATATCACCAGTAGAATGCTTTACAAAAAGATAAATGCAGCATTTGACCGGTTTGCGTAGTTTCACACCAAAAGCCTTATTTCAGTGACCTCCCGGCTTGAACGGTAAATAATGACTATATCTTGCCTATGAAACCATGCATAAACAGGTCAAATACAAACGCAACATAACCTTCATGCCATTCAGTATCTCATTGACCATCTTGATCCTAGAATCTTTGTACATGAGGTTCTCCTCCTGAAAACGTTTCTGCTGATTGGCGATCCACGCGTTGAAGGGAACCAATAGCAACATCAGGGCCAAACCAGTAAGCACTGAGATCCCTATTACACAGAAACAAAACACTATGCTCATTTCAAAAAGACAAGAATTATTGTTGTCTCTCAACAAAGGGTGAGGGTTTTTTCTTATTCTTTGTCTCTCTCTCTCACTCTCTCTCTCTCTCTCTCTCTCTCTCTCTCTTCCTCCCCCCTTCTCTCTCTTTCTCTCTCTCTCGCTCCTCTCTCTCTCTCTCTCTCTCTCTCTCTCTCTCTCTCTCTCTCTCTCTCTCTCTCTCTCTCTCTCTCTCTCTCTCTCTTTGCATCTGGATATTTATAACATCGTGTGCAGACCATGCAAAATTATCAACCTGAATACTAGCTTGTAACTTAATTAAAAGCTTAATTGCGGTTGCCAAGACCAACTATTTTCGCTGGTCTAATTCTAAAGAACTTTGTACAAGCATGAAAGACTTGCGACGAAAATGTGATTGATTCGACAGTCCTCCTACATTAAAAATTGAATTCTAGTATATGTGATCGAAATTTTACTCTCTCTCTCTCTCTCTCTCTCTCTCTCTCTCTCTCTCTCTCTCTCTCTCTCTCTCTCTCTCTCTCTCTCTCTCTCTCTCTTTGCATCTGGATATTTATAACATCGTGTGCAGACCATGCAAAATTATCAACCTGAATACTAGCTTGTAACTTAATTAAAAGCTTAATTGCGGTTGCCAAGACCAACTATTTTCGCTGGTCTAATTCTAAAGAACTTTATACAAGCATGAAAGACTTGCGACGAAAATGTGATTGATTCGACAGTCCTCATACATTAAAAATTGAATTATAGTATATGTGATCGAAATTTTATTTATAGAAAGAACAGATCAAACAGTCAAAAGTAACTTGGTGAATTACTGCTTGCTGAAACTAGGTGATTGAATCAAAAGTTTGAGATATCGCATCCGAGCTATAAACCACAGCAGAATGTGCGAATCGGATTTCAGTGCGAAGGAAGAATGAGAAGAAGAAATAAATAAAGAAAGAAAGAAAGAAAGAAAGAAAGAAAGAAAGAAAGAAAGAAAGAAAGAAAGAAAGAAAGAAAGAAAGAACGAAAGAAAGAAAGAAAGAAAGAAAGAAAGAAAAAAAGAAAGAAAGAAAGAAAGAAAGAAAGAAAGAAAGAAAGAAAGAAAGAAAGAAAGAAAGAAAGAAAGAAAGAAAGAAAGAAAGAAAGAAAGAAAGAAAGAAAGAAAGAAAGAAAGAAAGAAAGAAAGAAAATTCCAGTTAGATCTTAGATCTGTTTCCCTGGCAGTGTTGACCATCTTCCAGAACCTCAGCTCTTCCGTCACTAAATATTCATTTAAGGCCTGGATACTCTTTTCTGTTGGATCTGTCAACTTGATCCAAGAGAGCCTTCACAATATCCGCTTTATTATAAAACAGCTCACAGTTCAGCGGGTCGGCAGCAGCCAGTCAATCAGCCTGATCATTATCCGTCACACGGGAATCTCTTCGACAGACATTTCACAATATGCTCCTGATATAAATCTTATCACGCTAGTCAAGCCACTCTACAAGTAGAATGACATTTTCTATTTTCCGAAGAATACTCTGTGACTTTTATTATTACAACATCTCGGGCTATGCTCCTCTGAAGCCACAGGAAAGCTGCTGTTACAGTCTCTACCTCCATTCTCATACTGCATGTTGCGAAGTCTTATACGCTCTCAAACTATGTCCATTCAACTTTGCAATAAATCGTCACCCACTTTTTTTAAACCTCTCATTACAGACCCATTTGTGTATATAATAATGTCACCTTTGTTTGTATTTTAATTGATCCAATTTGTTGCGCCAATGCCTATGTTTCACCAGCTACTCACTCCAAGCAGCTTCACTCTAACCAAGGTCACTATCATTCCTTGCAGGGTTCTTTTATTGGGTGGCGCTGTGACTCATTCCTCACCATGCGCTATCTTATCAGTAGCGCATGAGAGCCTAGCATATGATACCACAACATCCAATGAGGAGCATTGTCTGGAATGTTTCACCAAGCCACGCCGGCGTGTTGGGAAATGAACAGGCGGACAGACTGGCTGGCTCTGCACAACTTGGTGGAATACTGATAAATGATAGGGCAGACGTAGTTAGTGCCTTGTGGGAGCGTGTGTACAGTTCAGAGGAGCAGATGGATCACCACAGTCTGGTGAGATTGTTGCAAGGGGAAGTGACGAGAGGTTCTGGCAGATGCTCGGGGCTCAGAGAAAAGGCAAGACGGACGTTTAATCATAATGCTACTGGTACCATTAGTATCGGAACTCTTCGCTGGCTGCTGAAGATGCGGACGGAGCGCTTATGGGAATGCCCTGAGTTCTGTGATGTCGGTTCTTGTATCAAATCAAATCAAATCAGTAGCACACAGAGATATCTCATTGACTTCTGTCTGTGCCCTCCAAGAGCTACATCATTTCAACTGATGCCTCTTACTACCCATTACGACCTTAATTGGAAAGCATTTCCTACGAATCCAATGAATATTTTGCCACCATATACATGTATTTAACACCATGTACCTTTCATATATGTGGACAGCAATGTCAGTATGTGCCGCAATCATACGATTGGCGTATCTCGTGTGCATCCCAACATGATTCCCATGACTTTATTTTGCACGTGTTCTAGCTTCTTAATTTGGCTATTGGATAACCTGAGCTGTCCCAAACCATACTTCATAACCGAAATGATCAGTTACTGGTAGAGTGTTAGAGCATTTCCATGCTCTATATTCGCTGATGCCATCACTCTTAAAGCATTGTGCTCTTTCCTTATCTTTACTATGACCTCTTCCCTATGATACAATTTATTTTAATGTTTACAACAACGTCTCTAACAATGTTTTTGTGTAACGAGCATTACAATAGAGCTCCAAGACGTGGACGCGTACATTTTTTTGGGCAGAAATGTACATAAAGATGAGGAAATTAATTATTAAAATACGAAAACAAAAAGGCAGGAGGAGCTTACATAGCCCTAGGACATTTGTGGAGGTCAACAGAAATTAAAACTAATACTAAACTTAACATTTGTATTTCTGATGTCAAATCACACATTATGGAGCGGAAACCCAAATAAAGACTAAGAAAATTACTAATGAACTACATACATTAATTAACTGGTGCCTGCACAGAAAATAGGGGTTCAGATGGTATGACATAATCACTAATGTACAGTTTTGGGAGAGAACTAAACAAGTTCCAGTGGAGCGAGAGGTGAAGAAAAGAAACTAGCATTCGATAGGACACACGATGAGAGAATCTGAGAACAAAATAACTAGAATGTCTTTGCACTGGAATGTACACGAGTATAGAAATAAAGGGTTATCAACAAATACACGGCGAAGGAGCTAGAGAGTGAAGTTCAAAAAGAAGGGGGAAGGACATGGGGTAAGCTGCATGCGATAGCGAAGGATAGAACGACACAGCCTGAGTTGGGTTAGGGCCTATGCTCCACTGGGGGCTAAACAAGCAGAAAAAGAAGAAGACAATATTGTTCCATTATCTGAGTTGATTGTTGAACGTAATTGTTAGTTAGTTAGTTATTTAGTCGAAAGATTATCCTGACTGCACATCGACCCATTCAGTCCATAAGTGCTCGGATCCCCCCCCCCCCCTTAGTAAATCCCGCGACTCACTACACCAGTTCTGTGTTAATTTCTTATTCTTCCTTGGCTTCCTGCATAGTGGTCTTGTCTGATCACAACCCTTTAAACATGTTGCTCTTGCAGTCTGGTCATTGCTGCAAATTCACATTCACTTGGTTCTGGCAAACGTCTTCCTTCTCATCAGGCAGTCAAAATATCAGCAGGGTCCATGGCTGGTCCGCCATCCACAGTAGCTTTACCTGCAAGCCTATCATCTCGTTCATTCCATTACACGCCTGCGTGGCCTGGCACAGATATGAGACTGACATGTGTCAGCTCCCGCCGCTTTAGAAACTCCAGCCACTGTATTCGAATCCAGCCCTTCTCTATCTTCCTGAGCATACTCATTAAGTCACTGAGAAAGAATGCACGGGAAAAAGTATGTGTCTCCAGCCATGTTATTGCTTTGTGATGAACCTATTTCCTCACCACACTCCCACACCTTGTCTACCGCGGTCTGCAGTTCGTTGAACATCTATACTCTACTTCTCCCCTGCCTGTAGGCTAAGACGTTAGAAAGTCAAAACTCTCCCAAAACAGCCTCTATTGCCTCTATCCTGCTGGTGCACACATACAAACGAACTGGGGAAATGGCGAATCCCTGGGGGGAGACCAGGTGTCATACAGCAGGTTTCACAGCCCCACGAACCTAGGTAAAAAGCAGACTGTTATTTATATAAGACAACTACAATCTAACTGAGGGTTAGGGGCCAGACCTTCCTATCCATAAATGTGTACAATAAAATGTAACATTTAACCTGTTTTATGCATGTTCAAGATCCAGTGCCGCTTCGTTGTTTTATGCATATTCAATGAGCTAAATTTTAATAATCATAACAAACATATTTGCCTAGAAAGTTTCTAAGTCTGTGTGTGGAGCACCCCCCCCCCCCCTTCTCCTTTAAAAAAATTATATCTCCCCTTCCCCTATTTTTTGTTTGTGAGTCGGCTACCCTGATAAAAATAGGCATGTTCAGTAACATCACATAAATTTAACATGTTGCTAGAAAATAAAGGGAGACTTATTTATAACGTAAGGCAAGCAAGTTTAGTTTCTCTTACCTATACTGTTATACAGCAGTATAACAGCAAAGATACACTGAACTGGCGTGGACAACAAAAATATGAACAGTGTGCCTATTTCCTGCAACACAAGAAATGTAGCATTTGACAAACGCGTCTTCCAAAAACCGAATAAAATACAGTAACTCTAAGGTTTTCAGCAATTAATAATAATAAAAAAAAATGAATTCTGGTATGTTACACTTTTCTTTAATTTGGATAGTGGATTGGATGGCTGCCCTTCTTAGATTACATTTTAAAAAGTAAAAAATCGCCGTGTGGGTGCAGGGGTCCCATTGTTGGAAAAACTAGAACAGACCCACTGCCTACCCAAAATCCTGTCGTGAGAGCAGACTAATTGTGAGTTTCCTTCGAATTCGGAGTACATCTGCCTGAGAGGCAAGGAACCTACAATCTGCGTGCAAATGAGCAAACTTGTGAAACGGATGTGCACACAACGCTCAGTTTCTGGAACACGAAGTGGATGAACAACCAGAACTGTCCGACAGGATTTATAGAAGGTGAACATGAAGAAGAAGAAGAAGAAGAAGAAGAAGAAGAAGAGAAGAAGAAGAAGAAGAAGAAGAAGAAGAAGAAGAAGAAGAAGAAGAAGAAGAAGAAGAAGAAAAAGAAGAAGAAGAAGAAGAAGAAGAAGAAGAAGAAGAAGAAGAAGAAGAAGAAGAAGAAGAAGAAGAAGAAGCAGAAGCAGAAGAAGAAGAAAAAAAAGAAATAAGATGATGTAATATTGCACACGTCAACGGTTGATGATTTTATAGAATAGACGGCAAGCTACAATTGCCACGGTGTGAAAAAAAAAAAAATTCTTGAAGGAAAAACAACACGAAACATGCTACTAAAAATAAAATACCGATTAAAGAACATAATGTTGCCAAAATTTTTACATTCAGTACCTTTGTAATTTAATGAGAGTTGCACATATAAATACTTTAAGAATGAATCAATCAGTTAATAGTTCTTTTGCATCTCGTCATTGATAGGGCTTTCCCGCGAACTAATGAAAACAAAATATCTCATAACCACGCGCTTCCTTTTTTGAACAGTGGTTAACGAGGCGTATCTTGTATATGGTGCATGACCCATATTTATAACAGTCTGGTCCCACCGATGAGGCAGGCACTACTTTCCCAGCGAACTTTACTTGTCTTCTCCTTCTTCTTCTCAAAGTCAATGCCGTGTGACGTTGGTAGTCATGTCTATCCACAACCTACTGTCTCGTGTACTTTCAGTCAACTCTGACACAGATGATCTTCCATGACATGATGTCAGAGTGTCAAGCATCTGTTCTCTAGGTCTCCCTCTGCCTCTCCTCGCCTTTCAACTTTCCTACTGTCATGATGTACTCCGGTTTTCTCCATCTCTTCAGATGACCAAACAATGTAGACTGTCTCTTTCTGATGTGGGCAATGTTCTCTTCATGAGTCAGTTTTTTCAAGACTTTTTCATTCCTCCTCACATCTTAACGTTTACAGAAATATAAAGATATCACTACTAGGTGGACTTGATAGCAATGGATATAACAACTTCCACTTTTGAAGCGAATTCGAACTCATGACTTGGAGGCTGGTAGGGGAAACCTACACGCCACTGCGCCTGGGAAGCCCCAACAACAGAACAGTCTTATAATCTAATTCTCTTAATCTGGACGAGTGGGACTCAATATTTTCCAGAAATAAATTAACAGATACATTGCCGGAGTGTAATCTTGGCAGCGTATAAAGTAGTTTAAAGAGATGACGACGGTCTATACATGAGACAACCATGCTAGTTTCCAGGTGCCCTAACTAGATTCAGGAGTCAGTTAAAGTGTTGCCGCCAGGCAGAGAGTGTATTTAAAATATGACAACGTCTGTCTGATGTGATGTAACAGTTAGATGCGTGCCTGCGGATCTAAAGGTCGTGGGTTCAAATTCGGATTGCACTTGACTTTTTTTTTCTTTAAAAATTACCTTAGCTCCTAAGTCGGCTCTATCTTAAATGATTATCAGGTAAAGTCTTGGTATGTAAAGGCAGCCGATGTGCTGCTGACCACATCACCTACCATGTACCGATTGGTCTATAAAATAGGTCTAACTATTAAAAAAAAAAAAAAGGCTCTACTGGCAAATTTGGCCGGTAAGCTGGAAGGCGTCGACTGCTTCGGCCGGCTTAGCGGGACTTAGTGGGAGTTATGTCCCCGTGGCCGCACTCAAAACAACGAGCGAAAAAAGTCACGAATCAAATGACATACGTAGCCTCTTGGCATCTGACTGAGTTTGCCAGCGAAGTAATTCTTGGTGACAGTTCAGTACATTTAGTATTTACATAATCATCATTATGTGGAGTGTAATAAAGGGATGTCTGTCTCATGCCTTTTTGTGGGCTATTTAAAGTCTGAACAAAGAATGCATAGACAGACATGTTGTAAAAAATGACAACGCATTTAAAATCTTTAACAAGTCATGGCAGAACGCTAAGATTTCTTGAACCAGCCGCGATTTATTATTTCCTAACTGAACTTTGTGCACAAAATGACATGTTTCTGACACTGCGGCTTCCCTGGTGCAACGGGCAGTTGCGTTTTATTGTTGTTGAGCTTGTGCTTCAGTTATAAAGGGTTCTCGTATTTCCTTTATTTATGTAATGACTACCGTAGTATACACTTGAGGAAAGGTGCCAGCAAAATAAGCCAGAAAATAAATTGAGCAATCTATTGTTTGTGTCTTGTTTGTTCAAATTTACAACGGGGAAACCTTGTTTAAAGTCTATAACGAGTTGGACTGTATTTTACTGTCAGTATTTTGTGTCCAGTTTGTGGTGTAATGCAGTGTTGCCACTTGTCTTGGACAAAAAAACATCAAAAGCGGAGTCAAAAAATATCTAAAAACATCTAAATTTGCGTGGAAAACATCTAAAAAAAACATCCAAAATGGAAAGAGTCACAAATTACATAGCAATTGATATGACTTACCCTATATAATCATGTCCTCATTTTTACTGAAGTCTGCCTTATAAGATCCACAGGATAAACTTGGATTGGATTATGAAGTTGAAGCTTCAGATCCTAGATGACTCTGAAATGCTTTAGCTGTTCCAATTTCGTTTGATACCCAATCAGGGAGCTGATAAGTGAAACAGCCTTTTGCTACTCTTATCAGGCCAAATTTTATTGTCAAGATAACATTTAAAGGTCAAATTTCATCCTGTTTTTTAGGTTAGATTTAATAAATTCAATCAAAATGTAAAACATCTAGAGAAACATCTACCATCCAAAACGCCATCTAAATGCAAGGAAAAACATCTAAATCTAGGTGTAAAACATCCGAAGTGGCAACACTGGTGTAATGATAGAACTGGAGGTAAGACAAATGATCCCCTGTATGATAGGGACCAGACCCATGGACTAAAGACTCACAAGATTCCACTACGGTGCGCTAGTGATCTAGGTGTGAGTGAGTGTAACAGCTATGCTACTGAAGTCAGTAATCCACTACATTCTCATACTTGCTGAAGACCTGATCAGCCGCAACACCCGACTGATTTCCAGAGTCCTGAACTTGGAAGATTTTGCGTATTGCCACTTGTGGTATAAACATGCTGCTATATAAACTTATCAAACAACAGATGGGAGCCAGGTATCTTACAGCAGTTATAAATGGTATCTTACAATGTTATAAATGCTATATCCATAGTAGAGTGGCATGTTATTATAATATACAGTTTTGCTTTCTCTTGGGCTGAAGTGCAATAGCTTGGAGTGGGCTGGGGGGGGGGGGGGGGGGGGGGTTGGGGGAGGGGATATCACGCTCACCTGTAACCGCTGACAGTCTACAGACATAAGGTTGACAATTTCCCCAACTGTGGAACCTCTCTTGGCATAACTTGATATGGTCAGTGCCTGTGAGGGGGGAAAACAAACAAGCCAACTCTTGGTAAATTATACTTGAAAAATACCGGGGAAATTCCCAAAAGAATCCTTAAAACATTCCATCTTCAGCAGCCAGCTCAGAGATCCAATTCCGATGGTTTCAGTAGCTCGCGGATCGTATATCTGTCTCGCCATTCTCCTGGTCATTTCCTGTCTGCGTGTTTTTTTTCTGACTATGATGATATATTTGTGCTTCCTGCGGGTTTTGGCAAATTCTAAGAAGCACAGTCCTTCGAAACGAAATCTTCTTTTCCGCGTTCACCGGCTACAACCTCTAGCGGTAAGTTCTGGTTGTTCGTCCACCTCTGGACTCTAGCCCTGTTCCAGGTCTGACTCATTTGCATGCAGGCTGCCGTTTCCGTGCCTCTCAGGCAGATAGACGCTTACTTTGAAGGAAGCTCCAAATTAGCACGCACAGTTGCGTAAAATGACCTCCATTCTTGGTTATTCTGGTGTGAAAGGCAATGAGAAAGGAAACACTCTCGCGGGCAGTGGACTACCAGTAATGGGCCCTCCATGGACAGGAGAGACATCATCACTGCCATACGAGAGACTAAACGCTGTCAGGTTTTCAGTTTAGTGGAAAAGGATTTGTCACTGAAAAGACTGCATACCCTGGATGTACCAATTGGAGCTGCGAGACAGGAAAACCATGCGGGAGCCACTCGTTGTTTTATCAGCCAGAACAGAATAGGAGTCGTTAGATTAAAAACAATTCAAACCATACTCAGGAGGTGATCGGAGCACTTAAGGTCATGTCCGATGTCAGATAAAGATGATCTCAAAAATGAACAATGAACAATAAAGAACCCAAAAGTCTACCTTCTTGTAGATGGCACCAACGAGCGCTGTCTTCATGTGCATGGCCATGATAGCACTTCTGTTCATACTGTGGGTGAACAGCATCGACCTTAGGAGACCCGTTACCATCAGACCAAGGCTCAGTACGTAGGCTTGCCATTCTTTCTCTTTGTCTGGATACTGGAGCTTTTCGATCAGGGCGCTGAGGAGTAGAACATGACCAGTGCGCCCTATATCTCTTTGTTAGCATGTAAACACCACCATCATTATCATCGTCACCGTAATTATCATCATCGTCAGCGTCATCGGCATCATCATCATCATCATCGTCGTCGTCTCGTCGTCATCACCATCAAACCCATAATTATCATTATCATCACAATTTTCACCACTGCGACCAGTTTTATCGTCAACATCTCAACCATCATCATCATCGTCGTCGTTATCATCATCATTATCGTCATCATCATCATCATCACCACCACATTATCATAATCATCACCACCATCATCATAATCATTATTATGCCTTGCCGATTGGTGTGTTTACTCGCGCGTAATGAAAGCTTTGTTATTCACGCTGGATATCTGAGTGCTGACATCATTCCACGCCATGACCTTGGCCCCCCCCCCCCCCCCCCCAAACAAAAAAAAAATCTATTAAGAATCTTCTTTGACACATGAGTCCAACACTAGATACTGAAACTTACAAGTGTTCCATTGAATATTTATTGATATGCTCATCTTTTATGATTGCATTTCTGTTTTGTTTGTGTAGCTGACAGTCTTCTGATCTTTTTCTTCTTCGATTGTTTTTCTGATCTTTTTCTTCTTCGATTGTTTTTCTGATCTTTTTCTTCTTCGATTGCGGTCGTTGCTGCTGCTGCTATTGTTGTTGTTGTTGTTATTGTTGTTGTTGTTATTGTTGTTGTTGTTGTTGTCAGAAAACAGAGCAGGAGGCCAATAGCCCTTATGAAAGTTATCTTGCAGTGCAAATCTTCCTGTGTACCATACAGTTTTGTCTTCACTGAGGTTGGAATAGACAATACTGCGTCTCTGTTGGCAAAATTCTATTGAGAGCCTATTTGAAACACATGCTCAGCGTAATGGAAATATATTGTCATTCATTTTCAGCAAAGAGATAATAACAAATTAGTTTGGAAAATCCCATAAATTATAAAATACAATCCTCTAAAAGGCCCCCCCCCCCCCCCCCCCCCCCCCCCCACCCCCCCCCCAAAAAAAAAAAAATACAATTGCATTAACAGTATATTCAAAAAAAATTGCATTAGTGGAAAAAAGGAATATGTTAAGGCGCCCGCTGGTTGTGAGGTCCCAAGCTGTAGCTTTTTTAACTTACACTAAATCCAGCAGTGTTACCAGTTAAAGTCCTGGAAAATAAAGGCGGCCGGTGTGATGTTGACCACATCACCCACCAAGTGCTGAGTGGTCAATAAAAGTGGTCCTTTGATTTTACTTGTTACTTATATTGCCTAACACTAATGCAAAGCAAGGACATGATGCCTTAACTGTAGAACGTTTTGTCATCTTCGGTTAGACATCTACAAACCCAGCTATCAACCGTGCTCCTATCGACTGCACAATTTCCAAACACAGCACACACAGGTTTAATAATGAATATCAAAATCTATGTTTTCTTTGTCGCCAGAAAGTGAACACTTTACTGTTTGTAACGAACATCGTCCATCGACCTCTTTTTTAACAGATTACAGCAGGTTGTCAGTAAATGGAGTTGACTCGTATAGACAATACGTACAAATGCAATCTGAAGTGGGCACAGTTGTATGACTCGTATAGACAATACGTACATATCCAATCTGAAGCGCACATAGTTGTATGACTCGTATAGACAATACGTACAAATGCAATCTGAAGCGCGCACAGTTGTATGACTCGTATAGACAATACGTACATATCCAATCTGAAGCGCGCACAGTTGTATGACTCGTATAGACAATAAGTATACATTCAGTTTGAAGAGCGCACAATTGTATGACTCGTATAGACAATAAGTATACATCCAGTTTGAAGAGCGCACAATTGTATGACTCGTATAGACAATACGTACATATCCAATCTGAAGCGGGCACAGTTGTATGACTCGTATAGACAATACGTACAAATCCAATTTGAAGCGGGCACAATTGTATGACTCGTATAGACAACAGGTACAAATCCAATCTGAAGCTTGCACAGTTTTATGTTTCTTTATATTCTCTCTCTTTTTTCTTTTCTGGTATACACGTAGAGAGGGGAAATAAAGGGCATATGTTTTCTGCAAACTTACAACTGTTCAAACCTTACACAACAGCTGGCATCTATGTATAGCTAAATGTGAGTATTTAAACATTTCAATAATAATAATAATTTCAACTTTAAAAAAGCAAACACGCCACCCTACCCGAGAATGAGTGGTCCCATAAATATAAAAACATCAGAAAAGAATTTCTGCACAAAAGATGTTAGGGCGTTCCGCCATGACAGTTTGATCAAGGGCATCATCACGCTGGCAATGCTCTCCTGTTTCTCTGATCCCGGGCTCTGGAAACAAGAAGCAGAAAATGTTCAGACTTGTCAGGGCAACATCAGTTAAATACTAAATTCCATTTACTTCTTTGGCGTGTGTGTGTGTGTGTGTGTGTGTGTGTGTGTGTGTGTGGAAGTGTGTGTGTGAGTTGTATGTATGAGTGTATGTGTGTGAGATAATGTGTATTTGTATGTGGGTGTGTGTATGCGTGTATGCGTGTATGTGTGTGTGTATGTGTGTGTGGTTGTGTATGGTTGTGTGTGTGTTTATAGCTCTGTGTGTGTGGTGTGTGTCTGGTGTGTGTGTAGTGTGTGTGTGGTTGTGTGTGTTTGTGAGTGTATATGTGTGTGTGAGTGTGTATGTGTGTGTGGTTGTGTATGGTTGTGTGTGTTTATAGCTCTGTGTGTGTGGTGTGTTTCTGGTGTGTGTGTGTAGTGTGTGTGTGGTTGTGTGTGTTTGTGAGTGTGTGTGTATGTGATGTGTTTGTGTGTGTATGCAGAAACAATAATTACAACTTTCAAGGACGCGAAAGAAGATGACCTTTAACGTGCAATTGTTTCACTGCAAAGAGATGGAGTTGTGTCGCGTAGCCGCTAGACGTTGATCTGCAGATTGGAAGGTAAAGGGTTCAAATCAATATCACGCGGAATGTTTATCTTCAAAACTGATCAGTCCCAGGTCGACTCAGCCTAAAATGGACACCGGGTAATGTTCTGAGAAGTAAAGGTGGCCAGTGTCAGTTTAGCCACATCTGTAAAATGTCTATTAAAATATAGGTCTAGCATTATATGTCTGAAGAGTCGCCGGGGTGTAGCAGCTAGACGCTAGCTTGCGGATCTGGGGGGGGGGGGGGGGTGGTGTCGCAGCTAGACGCTAGCTTGAGGATCTGGGGGTGTAGCAGCTAGACGCTAGCTTGCGGATCTGGGGGGGGGGGGGGGTGTCGCGCAGCTAGACGCTAGCTTGCTGATGCAGGGGGTGTAGCAGCTAGACGCTAGCTTGAGGATCTGGGGAGTGTAGCAGCTAGACGCTAGCTTGCTGATCTGGGGGGGGGGTGTAGCAGCTAGACGCTAGTCTGCGGATCTGGGGGGTGTAGCAGCTAGACGCTAGCCTGCGGATCCGGTGAGTGTAGCAACTAGACGCTAGCTTGCGGATCTGGGGGGTGTAGCAGCCAGACGCTAGCTTGCGGATCTGGGGGGTGTAGCAGCTAGACGCTAGCTTGCGGATCTGGGGGGGGGGGTGTAGCAGCTAGACGCTAGCCTGCGGATCCGGTGAGTGTAGCAGCTAGACGATAGCCTGAGGATCCGGTGAGTGTAACAGCTAGACGCTAGCCTGAAGATCCGGTGAGTGTAGAAACTAGACGATAGCCTGAGGATCCGGTGAGTGTAACAGCTAGACGCTAGCCTGAAGATCCGGTGAGTGTAGAAACTAGACGATAGCCTGAGGATCCAGTGAGTGCAGCAGCTAGACGATAGCCTGAGGATCCAGTGAGTGTAGCAACTAGACGCTAGCCTGAGGATCCGAAGGTCGTGGGTTTAGGTCTGAACGGATCCGAACTCATATTTTGAAGAATGCCAACAACATTTTTGTACTGCTAATAACTTAGGTTGTTGCTCACAATTAATTCTTTCAAATAGTGGACTATAACGATATTACTATACAGTGCAACAGTGATTATCTATCGGTTTGTATTTCAATGTTTATAATTACACATTAAATAAAATATAGTGCCCAAAACTGTATACTGAATAAGCAAGGAAAAAAGTAGAATAAAATATCTAGATTTGTGGATATTCAAAGGAACAGCGTGCATTTCATTGAAACATGAACAATCACATATGTGGTATCTGAAGTAGCTTAGACTAAAAAGACTGGTGTAGGGGAAGAAAAGAGACAAATGAAATATTCAGGCTCTTTAAACGACAACCCACTCTAATTGTGATTTTTGCTGATCTCTGTCTCTATACTCCCCTCTGATATGATGTAAAGTGTAGAAACACATGGGAATAGCCAAAACAGGACTATTACGTTGGTACTGTTTATTGTAATAGCAAATGAGTCATTCCGTCGTTGTCGTAGATTTTCACTGGTCGTTTAAAACAATCTTTCGACTGACTGTCATGACAGGATTACAATCAGACAACGGACTCAGTAATCTTTATATCGGAACATGCTTTTCACGAAGGGATATTGCATCTGGATCACAGTACGATAGATGTTCACAGTCGCTCGTGGATGTAGTAATTGAGAGTCATTTCTGTTCAGGCATCTCTTGCATTCTAAGTCTTCGCTCCCTCGGCTGACAATCAAAATTCACCGCAATCCCTCCATTCAAGCAACCTCTTTCTCTCTCACGGTCAAACACTATCTGACTCTATCTCGTCTCTCACCTACCAACCTTTATTCCAATCCCACTTATATTCCTTGCAACAGTTCACACAAACACAGGACATTCTAAACACAAATTGTCCACGCGTCCCGCGTTTCCCTGGACTTCTGACCTAACAGTCGCCTGGGAGCCTCCTGGAATTTCCCATTATTACACTAATCAATACCAAACGTAAACGAAAGCCTGAAGGCAAAGAGGTAAATGGCGATACAAATGGGCGGTTAAAATAAATAGCTTGAAGAGCAGACTTAGAGAATGTGAGCCAAGAAAAGAGACATTGTTGGAGATCCATTGCAACCAACGTTCATTATAGAGACAGTTCCTTTTTATATTGTATTTGGAAGAGGAAAACAAAACCGTTCTTTACCTCGCAAACGCCAATTTTGATATCCTCGGCAATCAGTAGAGATGACCGCTCATGCACACCGTCGTAATATGCACTGTCCTTCCTCCTCTCCCAGGCCGACCTGGCATGTCTGCTGTTCGATCTTCTGAAAATACATTCATAACTAAGATCAACACACTTTCTATGAATGCTAATCATTTCCCATGCGTGAGTTCCTGGGCTCCATTGTGGAGGAAAACAAAAAGAGGCCCACTGCCTCCTTAACAAGCAGGTTGAAAGATTCGACTAATTAGGGGCTTCCTTGGAAGTCGGAGTACATCCGCCCGAGAGGTAAGGAACAACCAACTGCTCACAAATAAGCCATTAAAAATGATGCACACGCAAAACTGAGGCCCTGGCACAAACGTACACATGCAGGAACAACCAGGACTTTTCGACTGAACTTACAACCGGTGAACGAAGGAAAAGAAAGATATTTGTCATATTTAAAACATTTGTAATTATAAAATGATGAAACTGACAGTAAACTGGAGATAAATCAAGTCACATGTTTCTCCCATCTTGGAAACGTGATCACAGATGATGGCATGAAATGGAAGTTTAAAAAAAAAAGGGAAAAGGGGGGGGGGGAGCTAAAAGCAATAATGCAAGAGACAGACAGCGGTACAATAAGGGGGAAAACATCAAGAAGAGACGAACAAAAGTCTAAGAGATTATATATATATATATATATATATATATATATATATATATATATATATATATATATGTGTTAGGGCTGTACCGATTATTCGCTTCGTATTCGCGTCGGGGCCGAATAGTGGACCTAATAACTATTCGGTATTCGGCCGAATAGTTGCGGTCGGGCCGAATACGAATAGTGGTTACCTTACTCCCGTTTCTGCATACACTGTGATGGACTGAAATAACTCTCTCATTAACACAATAGTTGCTTTCGCCTTAGCGTGTCGTAGCGGAAACTGCGACCCGGTTGCGTGGTACAAACTGCATAAAATGCCAACCGCAGTGTGTGTGGTGTGTGTGTGTGTGATAGAGAGAGAGAGAGAGAGAGAGAGAGAGAGAGAGAGAGAGAGAGAGAGAGAGAGAGAGAGAGAGAAAGAAAGAGAGAGATCATAAATTTTTGTTTTTTCAGAGTGTCTTCGGCAAAATCAAATCTGAAGATATTGCTAACGAGAATATGAAGGTGCGTTTAAATTACATCGAACGAACGGCCGAGCGAACGATGGTTTTGAAAGAGGCGGGAGCCCGAAGACAACTAATCACAGACATCAGAAGGAGACAGTCGTCATTTTTCAGCCATGTTATGAGAAGAGGGAAAATGGTGACCACTGGAAAGATCTGTGAAAGGAGGGATAGAGGAAGGCAACGATAGAAGATTCTTGACAGTCTTGTTGCGAGGCATGGAGGTGTGTCAGCACACGAACTGATACATGCTGCAAGAGATAGCAGATTGTAGAGAGGCATGATAGCACACGCCAGTCGGCAAGTCACCTGATGATGATGATACACTATTCGTATTCGTATTCGGCCGAATAGTTAGTGGTACTATTCGTATTCGGCCGAATAGTGAAAATCACTATTCGGTACAGCCCTAATATATATATATATATATATATATATATATATATATATATATATATATATATATATATACACATACATATATATATATATATATATATATATATATATATATATATATATATATATACATGTGTGTGTGTGTGTGTGTGTGTGTGTAAATTTTAAAGAGACCATTTGAAAGAGCAAATTTATCTTCTTGTTATCATCCATTTTGTTTAGCATTTTATTTCATCATACTTATGTCTAGTCACTAGTTTTGGTATATACGCGTATGTTCTTGCATGCTATGTTTCCAAATACCGATCTATAGTCAAGCAATACATTTTATATATATATTGTCACAAGATAACAATTGAATAGGCTATCTGTCCTAGATCTGTCCACTTACTCAATCAGCCCACTAACGAACCACTTTAACGAACCAGCCCACTAACTAGCCTCTTAACCAACCAGCCCACTAACTAACCACTTAACCAGACAGCCCACTAACTAACCACTTGACCAAAAAAGCGACTAACTAACTACTTTAACCAGCCAGCCCACTAACTAATCACTTAACCGACCAGCCTACTTACTAACCACTTAACCAAACAGCCCACTAACTAACCACTTGAACCAACCATACCACTAAATAACCACTTAAGCAGCTCACTAACTAGCCAGCTAACAAACCAGCCCACTAACTAACCACTTTAACCAACCAGCCCACTAACTAACCACTTTAACCAACCAGCCCACTAACAAACCACTTTAACCAACCAGCCCACTAACTAATCACTTAAGCAGCCCACTAACTAACCAGCTAACCTACAAGCCCACTAACTAACCACTTTAACAAACCAGCCAAGCTTGGGCTAGAATGTATTTGGCGTTTGCGAGTATGGGATAGTTAATATACAAAGTTTAGTTGCGTATCCTTTACAGGACATTGCAGAACCAACCCCAACATTTGTTTTGGCTGTTGTGGTTTTTCTAGGCTCAATCACGTCTAGTAGTTTGCCATTGCCACTGGACGGTCGGCTTCTCGATATCAATGACGAAACCAACGCAAGGCAAAAGGCTCGCAGCTAGGATTGAATATGGTAAACCGGCATTACAAAGCTCTTTCGCAACGCCTAAGCAGTAGTAGTAGTATTTTACCACACTATTACATCACACAAGCGATAAACACTCGATGACACAAAGTACCACCATATGGATGAGAATCACCAATGGAGAGGTCCCGGAAACCGCGTTTAGCTATTAGACCATATTTATTAGTTAGTTAGTCTTTCCTCTTGTGTCGAGTGCGGCACATAGGGCAGAGGTCATGACTCTCCATGCATGGCGGTTCGTTGCAATCTGTTGTAGGTCTTGGATGTTTGACCATATTTATGGCCGGGCTATATTGCGGCTCATGGAAAGGGCCAGGATGGGGCTTCAAAATAACAAAAAATTGCATCCCACAAGGAGATGACTAAATATTATGTTACCAGAGGCAACACCTAAGCCATAGACGCTGACTTATATTCACGGTAAGAGGGGCATAAAAATCACTTACGTGTAGAAGCCAACACTGTTGAATTTGTCCACATTCCTTTTCTCCCGATCCCAGTATTTCTCAAATATGGAATTGACGCGGCAACCCTGATCTCGCGGGTGTAGATCCCACAGGTCATCGACGCCAATTTCCCTCTTAAATCCAGTGATTATCAGTCTGAAATGAGATGAAGACTGAGACATGTATTAGTTAATTCTTTATTTTATATTTCTTATTTCGAGTTTGGAATCTGCCGACAGTGCAAAAAGACATCGGTCGTGGTGCTCAGTTAAGACATGCTGGCACCTTAAACTTTCAGAGATCAGCCATCAGTGGGATAACTGTGCATGTTAGAAATTGAAAGTGTACTAAACTTTTAATATCTAGGCTCTAAAATAAACAGCAATGGAGACTGTTTGTGAGAAATTAAAAGGAAGATGGCCTTAGCAATGCAAAGATTGAATAGCCTTACAAGTCTATGGTTAAGCACCAGCAAGGAGATCAAAATTAGAATTTTGAGAGCATGCATCTTCCCTGTGGCTACATATGGATGTGAGTCGTGGACTATCTCTTAGTCCTTAAGAAAGAGAATGGGGGCTTTTAAGCTGAAATGCTATAGAAAAATTCTCAGAATATCTTGGACAAAAAAGAGGAGAAATACTGACATCTTGAAAGATCTGAACATCAAGGAAGATTGGATAATAAACAGCATCCTGTCTCAAGAGCTGAAATATTTTGGTCATATCAACCGCCACAACGGATTGAAACAAAATATAGCAGAGGGCATGGTACCAGGAAGGAGTAGCAGAGGCTGACCGACACCAAGATGGGCACAGGATATAAGTGACTCCTTGAGTATGAAAGTACTTGAGGCGGAAGAACTGGCGAGAGACCGAGTTTCTTTCAGGCAGACTGTGATGAGAGCGACGTTCTGCAAAGGACCTGCTACATGGTGATGCTGATTTATTACTAACACGCCACTCTGTTTACGTCTCGAACATAACGAAAATAATGCTATGTGCACGCTTCGTGAAGAAACTGTAATGTATGAAAGCAACCAGTGACTATTACTACAGTGCTAGTCGCAAACGCATATTCTCAATAGCGTAGTAACGCTGAAGACAATTTTAAAGTAATACCCTCTCCAATGTAATCGGTACCAGCTAACGCTTACACATGCGAGCTGATCACGCCTCACCACTGTCAGCTACGTACCTGATACTTTTTAATAATGAAACTGAAGAACTTACTGCTATTTTTAAATAATATAATCACAGAGGAAAAAGCCTGGGGGCTTGTGTGTATGTGTGTGTGTGTGTGTGTGATGTGTGTGTGTGATGTGTGTGTGTGTGTGTGATGTGTGTGTGTGGGGGTGTGTGTGTGTGGGTGTGTGTGTGTGTGTAAGGGGGGGGGGTAAATAATATCACGAATCCTTTAAACATGTATCGCCGACTGTGTGGGTGCCGGGACCACAAGACTGGAAATACTTTTCTACAGGCGTGTTCCAACAATCGCAGTTTGTAATAAATGCATTACTGTCTATGTGGCTTATGGGTTAGGACCGCGGTAACTTCAACATATCTGGTTGACAACTTGGCAACAGACCGTCCTGTGTTGATTTCCACAAAAGCATGGAGTGCCGATTCGCAAAAGAAATGTCAAACTACTGATCGTAAAATTGCTTGGTAAAACCACAGACAATCAACAAATACGGCGGGTGGTTTTTCAATAGTAAGTAAGTCGACAGATTATCCTCACTGCACATGGAAACATTCAGTTCATAATTGCTCAGACTTCCTTTCCCCCCTCCCCTTTCCTTCCAGGGGGTCTCTCTCCACAGTATGTAGCAGATGCCGGTGACACTATTTCTGTGTTGGTTTATAATTCTTCTTTGGCTTCCTGCATCGTGCTCTGGCTACACACCTTTTAGCATGTTGTTTCAGTCTGGCCATGGCTGCAGATTCACAGGGATCAACTGGGTTCTCGCAAACTTCTTATTTCTCATTTATGCATATTGTTACCATCATCATCATCAGCATCATGATAATGTCTTAATGAAGGAAACTAACATTCTGTAATTTAATCTTTTTATCCCGAGATGGCAGAAAGATGGAGGGAATACTTCAATGAGCTCTTTAATCCTCTAGGAGATCATCGGGAAAGAACAACTGAAGAGCAAAGAGCAACAGTGTTAGAACCACACATACTAATGGATGAAATAGAAAAAGTCATTAAACTGTCTCCAAAATATAAAGCAGCAGGAGCTGAGAGATTACCAACAGAAATAATTCAAGCAGCAGGTGAAAGCAGCATCAGATGGCTTCACAGAATATTCAATGCAGCATGGGTACAACAAACGGCCCCTATTGATTGGCAACATGCAATAGTTATACCACTGTGGAAGAACAAAGGAAGCAAACGAGAATGCGGTCAATATCGAGGCAGCTCTCTTTTAAGCCATGTTGGCAAAATGTATGCTAAGATAATAGAAACAAGACTGAGACCAGTGATAGAACCACAGCTGGCAGAAGAACAGATGGGATTTAGGAGAAATAGAAGCTGCACAGATGCAATCTTCACACTTAAACAGTTAATAGAAAAGAACATTGAATACAATAAGAACTTATTTGTGGCATTCGTAGACCAGGAGAAGGCATTTGACAGAGTCCACAGACAATTATTATGGAAAATAATGGCAAGATATGGAGTAAGCGAACACCTCATCGAAGTGTGCAAAAGTTTATAAAGGGATTGTACAAGTGTAGTTAGAATAAATCAGGGAACATCTCATCCTTTCACAGTGACATCTGGAGTAAGACAGGGGTGTGTCTTATCACCACTGCTGTTTATCACCTACATAGACAGTATATGCAAGAATGCCAAGTCCATGAATGAAGATCTAAGTAAGATCAACGAATTACTCTTTGCAGATGACCAGGCCTTGATAGAAGATACAGCCATGAAATTGCAACAACATCAAACATCCATGAATGAAAAATGTAAAACAAATAATATGAGAATCAACACTGAAAAGACAGAAGTAATGTCAATAGGAAAAAAGAAGACAGATCTAAACATAGCATTAGAATACAAAGGCATTAAACAGGCATCTGAGTTTAAATATATGGGAACTACATTTACCGAAGATGGGAAATTGGATAAAGAAATTGACATTAGATGCAGTAAAGCAAACCAAGTATTGGGACAGCTAGCTCCCTCTTACAGCATAAGACAATCCCAGTCAGCACAAAGAGACATCTTATTCAAAGCATATTTATTCAAACTCTGTGCTACCAGTGCCAGACATGGTCACTCACAACAAACCATAAAAGAAAATTAGTAATGAAATGTCTGAGAAGGGCTGTAGGAGTGACCATAAGAGATAAGATCAGGAATGAGATCATAAGAGAACAAGTCGGCACAGAACCAATTCTGGATTACATACAAAGACAGCAAGTGAAATGGTTTGCCCACTTAGAGAGAATGCCTGGTGACACCATACCATACAAAGCATACATGGAAAGAGAAGAAGGACGTAGAGCACGGGTTAGACCAAGAACAAGATGGAAGGATAACATCAGAGAAACTCTACAACAGCACGATGTGCCTATGGTCGAGGCAGCCAGAAGAGCTAGAAACAGAACCTTATATCTCCCTCGACACCCACAGCGGTAAAAGAGTAAGTGAAGAAGAAGAAGAATCTTTCTATCTGGACTTTCGTTCTTCCAATCAACCATAATGAGGTATCATCAGCGTACTAAACTTCCTTTCTCATCAGTCTCAAATATTTTGTGTCCTGCGCCTCTACGGTGACCTTGTATCGTCCATCTCATCTCTTCATTTTGGCTTTCCTGACTACGGTTGTCTTTTTTATGCAATTAATGGCGTTGACAGTCAATATTTACACAGCTTGATGTCTTGCGTGTTGCCAACATTTTGGATACTTATCTATGATGTCAACCCTTTAAGCTCTCAACAATCTCTAGAGGTAATCTCTGCATGTCACCATGTTAGGCTGACTACAAGGTTTACGGCTTATCTCTCCACGTTAAGCAATTGACAATGTCTAGAGTTTAACCTTACGTGTCACCATGTTAGGCTGACTACAAGGTTTACGGCTTATCTCTCCACGTTAAGCAATTTACAATGTCTAGAGTTTAACCTTACGTGTCACTATGTCAAACTGTCATCTATTTTTTTTTCCTTCCTACGTCTCTGTGTCGAGTTACCTGCAGTCTTCAGATGTTGTCTCTCCCAACTTTCCTGTGGTCAGCACTTATTGAAGTTGATCACTACTAACTTTATTCGAATGTTATTCTTCTGCAGCCTCTTCTATAGCGAGTTCTTTTTGTTAGTGGCAAATGGAGGGGGTGGCGGGGCTGTTAGCACCTTTCTGTTGTCCAGATGAGAGCATATTGGGGTGGTACAGAGAGAGACGTGTGAACTGCAGCCGATGGACGACAAATCTGACTAGCAAGACCCGCTCATCAGTTAGGGCCAGGGATAAAGTTCCTCTCCCACAGCCGAAGCCTGGCAGCTCTGTAGAGATCATGTGTTGTACAAACCTCATAATAAATCGCTTGCCGCCCTAGTTGATTCCAAAGGAAAAGCAACACCAATGCAGGAACAAAGCAGGCTGCAGAGTCTGCCGGGCCAGATGAGCAGTGCCCTGTGTGTCTGCCTGGTGCAGCTTCCCTAAAAGATCAGCTGTAAGATAAAGCTAATAGGTCCGTCTGCCGTAACCTCACATCAGCTCTTCTCTCCCGAAAGCCGTTGGCACCTTTTGAGTTTCTCTCTCTCTCTCTCTCTCTCTCGCTCTCTCTCTCTCTCTCTCTGTGTGTGTGTGTGTGTGTGTGTATGTATGTGGGGGAAGAGTTAGAAGATAAACATTAAATAAACACAGTTGTCACAGCATATTTCTGTGTGCTGGTTTAAAGAAGTTAAAATTTCACAATAGAATTTGGCTTTGAGGCATTTTTGACAATTATATACTTACCTTGTTAACCAGAAGAAGAACAGTTTCGACGGATAGGATGCAAAGACTTCTGGGCACTGTTTCTGTGGACAGCAGGATCATAATTAATAGCAACCTTGTTTACTCTATCCCGCGACCAACAGTGAAACGACTGGATGGATTATTTGTTTGTTTTAGTATCCAGAAGCCATGAGTTGTTAACCCTTAGGCTCGGTATTATGGATATTGCAACCTTTCGGCCTTGATTCAAATGTAAATACCGTAAATCTGGGAGAAAATGTGGCTTTCCTGCCAACCCCCGGGATTGAACCCGGAAGACAAGGAGTTCGTCACTCGGTCTCCGCGCAATCCGGTTTAGCCAGCTACGCTAGAGAGCTGGGTGATGGATTATTTAAACTTAAATGTAAAATCGCATTACAGGATTGATTCGCATTTCAGTTAGATCTATTCAGTTTTGTGCTTCATTTTAAGTCGATGTAACTCTGTAATAAGGCACCTGATGAGATACAGCGAAATATGCCTGGCAATAAATTGTGCAATGTATTGTTTGTATCCGCATTATTTAAGTATGTTTTGTTGAAATGTACTTTTTTTTTTTAATAGACTTTTTTTAAAAACTGTTACACACCAAGACTGTGTACATTCAGGGTGTACTAACAATCAGCTTGCATAATCTGTTGGTATGAAATAAACTGTTAAAAATAAAAGTACAAAACCGTGCTACACAACTGGCGCAACGGGCACATGGCACTAGAACCACATATGTATTGATCAATAAGAACTTGACGGAACTTTTGGGTCACCATCACATTGGCTGCCTTGTGATATAGTCAATATCATGCTGGTTGTCTTTACTTCCCAACTCTTTGCCTGGTACCCATTTAAGGCCGAGTGCGCCTAGGAGCCAAGATCATTTTTGAAAACCTGGGCTCAGTTCGAATTTAAATCCACGAACTTCGAATACGAGGGCCAGCATCTAACCGCTACACCACAGTCATCTCTCTGACATGGAGCGGCTCTCAAGATGTGGAAACTGCCATACAGAATAACAGGAGTATTTGAAACCGCAGATAATGAACACAACAGATCAAAGTCGTCCCCAAGTGGGATGTTATTTTTCGTTGTTTAAAGAACCACCCTGGCTTTTGCGCCATCAATATAGCCTAACGGCAAAAAAGAGGTTCCTGGGACCTTCCAACGGGTGATCCTCATCCGCATGGTGGCACTTTGTGTCACCGGGTGTTTATCGCTTGGTGATGTCCTGGTGGGGTATAACAAGAGAGAGAGAGAGAGAGAGAGAGAGAAAGAGAGAAAGAGAGAGAAAGAGAGAGAGAGAGAGAGAGAGAGAGAGAGAGAGAGAGAGAGAGAGAGAGTGAGAGAACACAACATGAATGTAACACAGTATCAAGGGTACCGAAACCTGAAGGCTCAGGTACGGGAGTCTCCACATTATTTTTCAGGCCCCTACCTCTTCCTCGGCAAATTTACAGAGATGACTAAGTTGCCTCCAACAGGTATTCTATTTTTTAAGTAGTTGTTAATACATATCATTTTATTAAAACAAAATGTATTATAATTCAGAAGATCCTAATAATAATAACTAGAGAAAAAAAATATAAAGATGCCGAGTCGCTCGACCTCAATGATTTCATTGTGGCAGCGCCATTACACAAAATTATTCATTATTGATGATGATAATAATAATAAAACAAATAATAATATTAATATTTATATGTAATTAGTTACCCAGGAGGGATATATGAATCTTCAAAGTACTTTGAAAAATCAGACCAACGAAAATACCCAATGTTTGTGGGCGACCTGAATGCCAAGATAGGACTAGATAACATAGGAAGTCGCCGTGGCAGAGCGGCTAGACGTGCGCCGCGGATCGGAAGGTCGTGGGTTCGCTCCCTGGAGGAGCCGGACTTTTCTTCAAAAATGACCTTGGCTCCCATGTCGACCCAGCCTTGAGTGGCTACTGGGTGCAGTAACGGGAAGTAAAGACGGCCGGCGTGATGCTGATCACATCACCCATCTTGTTCCGTTGGTCTATAAAATATAGGTCTAGCCCTATATGCCCTATACGCCTAACGGCATGAAAAAGGGTCCTTTACTTTCTTTACTTAGACAGACCCAGAGGACGCATGAGTTGGGACAATCAATGAAAATCCTGAATTGTTCAAACAATATTTCAAAGCGAAACAATAGCAGGAAATGTTTTCAAACGAAACAGTAGACATTAATCAACAACACAACTTAGAAAATCAAACAAAAGATCATTTGCAACAAACACACATTTCTATTAGTTTACAAGTCGTTGCAGTTACACAAAATAGAAGGACTCAAAGAGTACTAGAGGTGTGAGGTTTTGAACAACTGATCAACATCATAGCAGACGGGTGTAACCCATAAGTGCTTCGTTCTTCTTCTAACTCAAGTCTGAGTCCGAGAGGTTCATCAAGGTGCACAGGCTCTGCAGCACCGACGAGGATCCTTAAATACTTTGGGAAGAATTTTAACTCCAAATTTTGCCCAGGTTAGCACTATTAGGCTACTCTTTTCGAATTCCAACTGCCAAGGGATGTTTTACGTGTCCAACATTGCACACAGGCGTCCGATCTCACTACCCAGAGACCAGGGGGAATTACGAGAAGTCCAAGTCCAGTTGAAAAGTCCCAGCCCTTACCGGGGATTGAACCCGAAACGTCTAGCACTTGAGGCGGACATCAGGCCTGGAGACCACGCAGCCCCCTGAAGAGTACCAGCAAGTCACTAATGTGGAGCTGGCGCAGACAACTACAGAAATAGCAGTGTATCAAGGAAGAGAAAGACAAAGCTGTCTGATAAAACGTATGTTGAGAAATTTATTGATATCACCAGGAAGTCCTTCTTCTGGAGCCTACTAGGGTAAAGAAATAGAGGGACATCAGGCAAAGAAAAAAAATTTAAAAGAAGTGGTGAACATTTTGGGGATGACATCTGAGGGGCTACAGAAGACCGCAAGTAAAAGGAGAGCTTGTAATGAGATGGTCCAGAACCTACACTCTTTCGGGAGGAACCAGAAATAACCCCTTTCTAAAGGCAGAAATGTCTTGACACTTCTTGTCTGTCTGTCTGTCTGTCTGTCTGTCTGTCTGTCTGTCTGTCTGTCTGTCTGTCTGTCTGTCTGTCTGTCTGTCTGTCTGTCTGTCTGTCTGTCTGTCTGTCTGTCTGTCTGTCTGTCTGTCTGTTTGTCTGCCCGCCTACCTGCCTGCCTGCTTGTCTTTCTTTCTTTCTTTCTTTCTTTCTTTCTTTCTTTCTTTCTTTCTTTCTTTCTTTCTTTCTTTCTTTCTTTCTTTCTTTCTTTCTTTCTTTCTTTCTTTCTTTCTTTCTTTCTTTCTTTCTTTCTTTCTTTCTTTCCCTCTTTCTTTCTTTCTTTCTTTCTTTCTTTCTTTCTTTCTTTCTTTCTTTCTTTCTTTCTTTCTTTCTTTCTTTCTTTCTTTCTTTCTTTCTTTCTTTTTCTTTCTTTCTTTCCCTCTTTCTTTCTTTTCTTTCTTTCTTTCTTTCTTTCTTTCTTTCTTTCTTTCTTTCTTTCTTTCTTTCTTTCTTTCTTTCTTTCTTTCTTTCTTTCTTTCTTTCTTTCTTTCTTTCTTTCTTTCTTTCTTTCTTTCTTTCCGCATGTCGGCCTTCATCTCTTTACTCTCTTTACTTATATCTAACAGCAAAGAAAGACAACAGTGCAGAAACAACCTTACCGTTCCCAGCACTTCATATCTGGCGCCTCCAGTCACCCAGCTGTTGTCCGACGGAAAAGAAAGCAGAAAACACAGAAAATTCACGAAAACGGTGGTAACATGAATCCCGAACTCCGTCTGATACCGGAGATAATCCTGTTGGCAAAAAAAAAAAAAAAACATTCAGTGAAATTAATGACAACATCGGAATACAACTTTTATATCCTGAGAATATGCAACTTTCCTATAGCACAGTGGTTTTCAAACTGGGAGAGCGAGGGGTGTGTGAGCAGGTTTGATATTATGCTATCATGTTCAATGCATCAAACTACTGCTGCCAGTTTGACATACTGTGCAACATCAGATAAGTTGTCAACCATCACATTCCTGTTGTCACTAAATTACCAGTCGGTGGTGATGGGCCCTTATATGATATTTGACACTTTGATTTATAGGGAAGTTTGCCTCCTAGTTCTTATATGATATTTGACACTTTGATTTATACGGATGTTTGCCTCCAAGTTCTTATATGATATTTGACGCTTTGATTTATACGGATGTTTGCCTCCAAGTTCTTATATGATATTTGACACTTTGAGTTATACGGATATGTGCCTCCAAGTTCTTATATGAAATTTGACACTTTGATTTATGCGGATGTTTGCCTCCAAGTTCTCATAAAAAGTGCTTGAGATTTCAAAAAAAAATCTTTTTCCTCCTCTTATAAATCATATTTTTTAACGCAGAAGGAAGCGTTGGGTGGGGGCGGGGGGGGGGGGTAGATGGAAATGAGGATCACATATTTTAGGGGCGCCACCTGATAAGGGTTAAAAACCTCTGCTGCAGCAACATATTGGTGTAAGTCGTAGGCTATTTCGCAACTACCAAAGAATAAATGGGCAACTAATGAACTTCAATGAAATAGGAGTTCACCTACAAGTTCTTAGACTCAAAAAAAAAAAAAAAAAAAAAAGAGAAACAAATTATCAACGACCTAATGTAAAAGGGATTGACTCACATCACCTACAAGTTCTTAGACTCAAAAAAGAGAAACAAATTATCAACGACTTAATGTAAAACATAAACTCATAAACAGTTTTGTTTCTCGTAAAATGAAATACGTCTTGTAATAGCCTCTCAATGCCACTGTCGAAATCAACGCAAGACGGACTGCTGCCCAATCGCTGGCAGCTGGGATCGAACGCGGCAGTTCAGAATTACAAAGCACGTTTGTAATGCCTGAGCGACAGCCTGCGACGAGTGGGACGTTGCTGTCATTTGTTGCCTCTAACTTTTCCACTGCCACGATGTACCCCAGTTTTCTAATTTTCATGACATGACCAAAGAATGTTGAGTGTCGCTTTTTGATGTGGACAATCAGCCATATTCAATGCCAGAGCGGCTTGGAGAGAACAGTATTGGGGGATATGATTCCTCGAAGAGTAGGCTGATTTCGATGAAAACAACGGTGGACACTGGATATAAAAGGAGGCTAATTTCGATGAGAACAACGGTGGACACTGGATATAAAAGGAGGCTGATTTCGATGAGAACAACGGTGGACACTGGATATAAAAGGAGGCTGATTTCGATGAGAACAATGGTGGACACTGGATATAAAAGGAGGCTGATTTCGACGAGAACAACGGTGGATACTGGATATAAAAGGAGGCTGATTTCGATGAGAACAACGGTGTATACTGGATATCACTCTTCCTACCTCTCACTACAGACCCATCTGTATACATTATGATGTCATCTGAACGTTAATTTTTATTGACCAGCTCTTGCACCGCTGACCTTTTTACGCTGCCTTGTCAGTGACATACACAGTTCTGATCGTGATTTCTGCCTGTGCCACCCAAGAGCCGCCTCTTTTCAGCCGTTGTCTCTTGCTATCCCCTAAGGCCTCGTGTAGAAGGTGTTCTTGTCCATTACGACTTTCAGTTACATTACCTGGTACCTCTCATTTACTGATGCTAGTGCTGATCTATCAGAGCCGATCAATACACTGTGTGTTTATTATATATAATGATTTGAAGAATGATATGACTCCTGAACTTCCTACAGCGCAACGAACACCATCATTAGCAAACACTAAAAAGTGCCAGCAGTCTAGTGACGCCTAATTTTGTAATAGGCTGAGGAATTTAAGTCTAAGTAGTCACTTTACGTTCCACCCCACCAGGATATCACACAGAGCGATAGAAATCCGGTGACACAAAGTGCCACCATTCGTATTAGGATCCCGATCCAGAAACCCCGTTCAATCCATAGGTTAGGTTATATTAGGCGTCGAAGTAGGAGCAAGAGGGCTAATCTTCATCTCCACAGACAATGCACTCAAGTACTTTGGCTTGCTAGAAAAATAACAGAAAAGGGCACTAAAACAACTGGCTGAAGCGGCTGAAAGGCCTTCGAGCTGGTTGTGGATGAAACAGAGCGTCGTGTGGGATAGGCCTCAGTAGACTGGCCCGAGCCCAAAGCGTGAAAGAACTTTATAACTCTAAAAGCCAAGGTGTCCGATTAAGTCTGCCAGTGTCTCTCTGGAAATTGCCAGTTGTCTGAATAACCAACCGTTGACTTGTCATTCTTATTGTGAAGTTGGATGCTTAAATTTGCTACGGCAGAGACAATATATAACACCAAACCTGACAATACCTGTTGCAAAACCAACACTTTATCTTCTCCGAACCTCCGTTAAGAGCAACAGGAGATGTCAATGGCCTGGAGTAATAATCTAGGTCGACCCACTCTCCGAAATTGTCTAGGAGGATAATGGGCTGAAACAATTGTCAACGAAGACCCTACCTACGGAAGAAAGGTGGACTAATGCTGTGATGCTCCCACTGTTAAGTTCTTCTTACATACAGGGCCGTCCAGCAACACCTGAGGTAGGGTTTAAAAACAAAAACAAATTGCCTCCGACGTTTGGATGCAGAAGACCGTTCAACTGTTAGGTCACATTAGGTCTCCCCGACATCAGCCGGCGTGGGGCTTTGAAATAACCCAATTTTGCCTCCGATATAGGTCGGGTGAGTAGATAATAATGCATACTTGTTATAATGTGGTGAATTTATTGTCTTATTGTGTTAAAATCTTCGTCATCTTTCTTGAGGGGTGCAGTGTTTTATTATTTTGAAGCCCCACCCTGGCTGTTGCCAGGGGCCGCAATATAGCCTAATTGTTGAACGCGGTTTCCGAGATCTCTCCACGCGTGATCCTTATCCTCAATGTGGTACTTTGTGTCATCGGGTGTTTATCGCTCAGTGGGATGTCCTGCTAGGGTAAAATTTACATATCGTGAATTTATACAATGTGTACATGATGGTACTAGTTGTATAAGGAGCCGAATCGTATAAATTAAGCTAACAATTTTCTAGTAAACTTCTATCGAGATGCACATATTTTAAGTTTGCCCCCACCTGTGTCTTGATCCAAGTGTACACGGGGACTATGCCTAGAAGAGCATTCAGTGTGTAGTAATAGAAAGTCATCATCATTGGTTGTCGCCCTTTGCGTCTTTCGTACCAAACTTGAAATGCTGCCAGCATCTACAGACAGGAAAACATGAGAACAGAAATGCCATCAGTTAAAGGGAAATATAGTATACATAACCGTTCTACACAGCAACAGGGATGGTCACTAGCCACAGTTCATGAAATGTTTATATTTGCATTGAATGTATACATTATTACACCAATCGCGAAACAAATGTCTTTAAAAACACACACACACACACACACACACACACACACACACACACACACACACACACACACACACATATAATATCCCTGCGTTTTTTTTTTTTTTGGGGGGGGGGGGGGGGAAGATATTTTGTTGGGTTTCCTATCTTGGTTGAGGTTAGCAGGGTTAGACGGTTGTGTGCCCCCTTACAGAACGTTGCAGAACACACACCCACCTGTGTGTGTGATTGTTGCAGTTTTTCAGTAGTTTGCCATTGCTTTGTAATTGGTCAGCTCTCGATGCCACTGTCGAAATCAACGCAAGAGGGACTGCTGCCAAATCGCTGGAACCTAGGATCGAACGCGGCAGCCCAGAGTTACAAAGCAAGTTTTCAATGCCCGATTGCAGCCACGGGTAGCAGGCTACATCAGCACAATTAATACTTGCAGTGGCCGTAGTGAGCGAGTCTTCTAAATATACCTTCTTCACAGGCTGAACGGGAAACAAGTGGCTGTCCTGCTGGTTTGGCGTTCAGAATTCTGAACTTTAAATTGCAGGGCCATGAGACCTTCAAGTAACAACCCGTGTGTGAAAAACAGCTAGCCAGTCAACAACAATAAACAAGTTGTTATATTTCAGCTTGTTGTGTGATTGACGTATTCATAAACACTGACGATAGATTCACCAGGCAATGATGACCCGTCCATGGTTATATACAGCACCGAAGGGATCATTTCCACATGCCAGGTGCATCGCGTATATGATTCTGCTTCACCTTGTGAAACATCTGGTGGTTGTCTATCTTTGATGTCGTCAACAGTACACCAGCATACTTGTTATTCCCATGACAATTTTTGGCACACATTTTAAGGCTGGGTTGAATCGAAATCAGAGCACTCCGGACACTCCCATAAGCGCCCCGTCCCCATCTTCAGCAGCAAGCGAAGAGTTCAAATTTCTATGGTACCAGTAACTGTCTGACCGTATATCCGTCCCGCCCTTTCATTGAATGCTGAGCGTCGGCCAGAGCCCCCTGGTAACTCCCCGCAGCGCCATTCTCCCCAGACCGCAACGAACTATCTGTGCCTCTGCACTGTTCACTTGCCCCTAAAGGGCCCTCATAACACCTAGCTTGTCATACATCAGTTTACTACCAAGTGGTCCATTTCATCTGCCTGCTTATTTTTTTCTAAAAAAAAAAAAAAAACCCCGGCATGAGCTGGAGAAAATATCCAAACAATCCTAACCACCCGGGAACTATGAAGTGATGCTTGCCATTCTACACGGAGCATGCTTGTTTTCACCCTTTTCTCATCATGCTCTGTGAGTCAGTTATAGTCACGGCATGTATGTACAGCTGATTCTCAGGCCAGCGGAAGGCATCAGTGACTGCCTCCACCGCCGTTAACAAAGTAAACTTTGTGATACCATATGTCAGGCTGGGTCTACATGGAAGCCCATGTCAA